GAATGAAAGCTTTAATCTTATTGAAGCCTCTTCCTTAGCAGTTGCTCAGGATTTCCTTCTGATCTATATTCCAGTGATTCCCCACATTTGACTACAAAGTTCTTTCACAAAGTCTTATTCATTCATTTTATCTTCAAAGTGAAGGCCAGGCCGGGTATCATTAGTTCTGTTTTACTGATATGGTGACAGTGGGAGGTAGAGAGTTGCTAAGTAAAATCCAACAAATATCCAATTTAGCTACTTGGTCCAGTCTATTCTCCTTCCATTTTTATAAATACAGGTAGCTTACCACTGCTAGGAATGGGGGAAATAGACTGATTTGGATTTGATATTCTTTCTATTGCCTAGGGTGCCAAGGCTGTTGAATAGAATTTGTCCAAAAGGCGGGCTGCAGGGGAGAACAAGACATTGGGGATCTGGATAATTGGCACCTGAAGAAGCTGCCTTTGGCTGCCTGTGCACACTGTTTTTGCAGCTCTCGGAGAGGAAATTCCCGACCAATAATTCTTAAATTACTACTAGCACAACTGGAAAGAAAACAAGAACAGAAAAAAACCAATATTCTCCACAGTATTTGATTCTAGAAGTGCATTTAGGAATATAAACGCCAAAGAAAAATACTTGCTTGTGCATTAAGAATAAATCAATCTAGGGCTCATTTTCCCCCTAACATTTCTGAGGATCAGACAGGCCTGGGTTAAAGCTTAGACCCTTCCACCTATGAGCTCTGTAATCTTAGCCAAATTTCATACATTTAGGACAATTATAGAGCTTCACCAACTGACTATGGGATTTAAAAGACATAGTGCACATAATACACCTGGCCCAATTATTATCATCATTGACATTTAACACAACTTGTTCACCCTGTCAGACCCCAGTACCATCCTCTGGTTAACTAGACTCACTGATGAGGGGATGTCCCCAATAGCATCTGGTAGTGTTAGTGCTCTTTCATTAACAAATATGCATCTATTCTCTTGGGCCTTCCTAGAATACTGTACCGTTATGGAAATGCTAGTTGCTCTATAAGACATTTCTGAGGGCTGGGAAGGTGGCTCAGTGGTAGAGCGCTTGCCTTTGCATACATGAGGCCCTGGGTTCAATACCTCAGCACCACATAAGCAAAAAGAATAAAAACTGTAAGTGGCGCTGTGGCTCAAGTGGTAGAGCACTAGCCTTGAGCTGAAGAGCTGAGGGACAGCGCCCAGGGCCCAGAGTTCAGGCCCCATGACCAGACCCCCCCCCAAAAAAAAAGACATTTCTGAAATAGTGCCACATCAGTTTCTAGCACTGCCCTTATTCCATTTTGTCCTTTGTTACTGAGGACTTGGAAGTCAGTGGAAATGTCAATGGAAAAAAGGTCTGTAGGAGGAGAGGAACAGAAGTGAGGTCCATGGAAAAAGGTATGCTCTGGGAAAAGTAGAAACTTATTACTCCAATTGGCCTAGATGAGATTTCTTCTATTTATTATTCATATCCTTGATGTAAATCGAGAAAATGATATGACATTCATAAGATTCATAGTGGAAAAATAGTATTAATAATATATATTGACATGAGACTCAGCAAATGCTGAATCTTCTCCTTCCTTCCTGTACACTGATGACATTAATGAAACTCAAAATATTTATGGATTTTCTCTTCCCATACAGCCATCATGGCTAGACTTAAACCAATGTGCTTACCTTTGCAATACCTAAGCCGTGTTCATACATATATGCCAGATTGAACATGGCTTGTGCACTGTGATATTTGTCAGCTGCAATGCTGTAATGTGTAGCTGCTGTTTGATAGTCTTTCTTAGTCCCATAGCCATAGTAATGGTAATCTCCAATTTTTACTCTAGCAAATGCATTGCCTGGAGAAATATTAGAAAGAGAAGAAGAATTGTAACTCAAGTGATTTATATTTAGTCTCTAGTAAGTCAGTCTAATGGTCTGTAAAAAAAAAAAAGAAAAAGAAAAGTGGAGGGAGTGGAGGAAAAGGAAGAGAATAAACAAGTGAAGAAAGGAAGGCGGAGAATGCAGTCATAATGTTCAATGTACATCTTATGAAACAAAGAAAGTTGATAGGAGTGGTGGGGTTGGGAGGGATGAGGAGATTGAAGAAAGGGGTGTCATCATCAAGATGCATTGTATTTATAAATTAATTTGTTAAATGGTAACTCCTTCATACATCTACTTAAAGATAATAAAAATATAATTAAAATTATATATATATAATTACACACATTCTAAAGTTTATATATGAATAATTATACAATTTTACCTTTTAAATTCATTTCTTTTGTTGTCAGTTATGGGGCTTGAACTCAGGGCCTGGGTGCTGTCCCTAGCTCAAGGCTAGTGCTCTACCACAGTGCCACTTCTGGTTTTCTGGTGGTTAATTGGAAATAAGAGTCTTACAGATTGTATTGCCTGTGCTTGCCTTGAACCATGATCCTCAGATCTCAGCATCCTGAGTACTTAGGATTAGATGTGTGATCTACCAATGCCCAGCATTAAATTTATATCACTCCTGAAGACTGATTTCCTTTCCTTCCATTCTTAGACTTCATTGTTGCAGCTCTACTCTTCTAAATCAACCCCATTAGCTATTCACACTCTACCTTTTTAAAAGTGTGTTGTGCACTCACTATCTCCAGAGCTTTATTTCTCACTTTTGGTCTCAGTCTTTTGACTGAAAGTCACCTTTCTCTTAGAGATGACTTCTAAGAGGAAGGGAGGCCCATGTTTTTGTTTGTGAAAGAAAGATTGAGTGTGCTTGGTGTGGTGGCTCATGCCTGTAATCCCAGCTACACAGGAGGCAGAGGCAGGAGAGTTAAATCTTTAGACGAAACTCCAGCAAAAGCATACGAACTTAACTATAAAATGACCAAACTAGAGAGGGCTGGTGGTGTGGTTCAGGTGGTAGAGTGCTTGCATAACCTTGAATTCAAACTCCAGTACTAAGATAGATAGATAGATAGATAGATAGATAGATAGATAGATAGATAGATAGATAGATAGATAGATTGATGTTGAAAAGATGAAAGATAACTCATCTAAGACATCCAGTCTTGGCTGTAACCAATCCATCATAGTCTAGGAGTCTTTGGAAAAGAGAAAGTACTGAGTATGGGCAGTCTGGGTGTGTCATTAGTGATATAGGACTAGTTCCAAACTTTCACCCCATTTAACCTAGTGGTGCCTAAAATCCTTAGAATATATTCCTTTTAGAGTTATTTTCACCTTGTAGAATTCCCTATCAAAATGTAGATTCCTCTAAGGAAGTTTATGCCATTGCCCTACAGTGTTACATGAATAGAGCTAATTTTATAACATTCTTATACGGATGAGGACCTGGAGGACTGACCCCAAGAGAGGGTTCTGCAGAGGCCTGGAGAGACTAGAGGTCCATAAAGCTTTAACGAGAAACACACTGCATCTCTAATTTTACCTAAAACCATCCTTCTTTGACTCAAGGAGTCATACTCTACAAGAATAGGGCACTTCTGTGCATTTTTGAGCTTTACAAGCTGAATATAGGATTCCTGAAGTCTCTGAGAATAGAGGGTAGTGAACAAGCTGGTTCTCAGAAGATTCAGTTCAACTCTAAGGAGGGGAACTAAATCTGACAGGCTGTGTGGGGATTGGTTGACAGTAGAAGGACTCCTACTTTAATTTCACAGTTACAAGACAGATACTGCGTACTGATAGATCAACACCCTCTTCACATGAAGCAACTGCTAAAAGAGACCAATAGTGAGTGACTAGCTGGAAAATTCCATTATTAGGTTTCCTGACCCCAAAAAATCTACTCAGCAGCCATATCTTTGGAGACACTTATACCCAACCTCTCTTGTGACACATAATTATTTTTAGCACAGTAACTTTTTTTTTAGATTGAGGGAATTCTGTTTAATATTCATGTTTTCTCATTTTCAATTTATCTTTTTTCCTTGATCCAATTTCCACACCATTTCCTGGTTTGAAATAAACACGTATTCGTTGCAACTGAGCTGATTTGCCATGGCTGAGAGATTGCTGGTGTTGTTTTTCTCATTCCAAATAAAGTCTTCATTGCATTTTAGAAAACACAGAATTTCTCACTAAAATTGCAGTGATGGCTCGCTGCTGCTTTATCAGCTCAGCTGGATATGAGAAGGCACCACTGTGACTTTTTCCTCTGCCTCATATTAGCATAGGTTGAAAATCATTTTTATCCTATTCACTTCCTGTTTAAAAGGATGATTTGGCCATAGCATGATTTTTATAAAATGTAATTGGAAGTAAAATTGCTCTTATTATGCGAGCTCCTCACATATCCAAAAGCCAATTCTGACAGCTTTGCAACATCTCCCTGCTCTTAATACTGTAATTTTAGGGGGAAATTTGGGAGAAGCATAGTAATATAAATGCCACCTGTCAATGCTATTCCTGGTAACACTATTTTATATTCTTTACCACATCTGAAGTCAATGCACAGGAATGGCATGAGAACTCCAGGCAAAGGAAAGGATCTTGCCATTCATCTTTACTTTGAATTATTTTAATTCTAACGTGTTAATGGCTATAGTAAAGATCTGAACTTTGTTGTAATCATCAATATGATATTTTTCAAAGAGATATCAATGAAGTCTTAGATACATAACTAATTTTGTCCATAAACTCAGAGACGTAGGTCATGTCAATGATTAATTCCATAAACAACTCAGCAAATGAGTGACTGAAGCCAGACCAAGAAAAATGTTTTCTTGTGTAAAATTATCATGTTTCAAACAACAGCTCTGGTGCCATGGAGACCGAGCCATAGAAAATTTCCTAAAATTTGCAAAACCAAGGGACTTTGAGAATAATGAGGATTATGGAAATGACCCCTAACATCAATATGGTTTGAAGTGCCACCTACCTGATATTCTATACCTTTATACCTATATGCCCAAGAACATAGCTGAACCAGATTAAGTGATTAGTCAGGGAACAGGTTTGTGTTTATTTTTAATCTAGGTTTTATACCTTGAACAGCAGCTCGATTCCATAAGAGAAGTGCCATTGGATACATCTTCTCTTTCTCAAGAATGTTTGCCTTTTCTGAAAAACAAGGAAACATTCCATTAAGAAGGCTAAAAGTGCCTTTATAGTAAAGTCATTATATACATCTGTATGATTGAGGAATTGCAGAGAATTTTAACTTATCTTACTAGATTCCAAAATGAATGCTGAATTGCTCTGAGCTACTTCATACCCCATTTCTGCAAGCATTGCATACTGAACAAGAGAAGAATCTATATCACCATCCTTATAGGCAAAGTAAGCTGTCAGGAATTTTTCAGCCCAGTGGCCTAGTTCACAGACACCTTTATAAAGCTGTATATAGGAAGAGAAATCAAGCACACTAAGTTAGTCAAGATACTTAATCCCAGGCAAATGATGGATGAAATAATTTTGAAACGTCTCCAGGCTAGTCAGACAAGAATTTTAAATTTAATGCATGCTCTTTGCAAATTATCTGGGGGTAAAGAGTTAATACTTTTCCTAGGCACAAAGATTTCAATTGTATTTTTCCTTTTTAATTAACATTTTTTTCTTTGTCTTCAGCAGAATTTCTTCAGGGGGATTTAAAATTTGTATACTAACCTTTCCTGGCTTGGAGATTTTTCTTGACAAGAATGTAAGGATTGTGTTTGTTATTGTTGTTGTTCTTGTTTTACAGGGCTTATCTTGGCATTGCTGTGCTGTGTGGGCAAATTACAAGGCTATGGCTGATGTGGAAAGGACAGAAGAAGGGAAGATAGTGCCTAAGGGAAAAGGTGACATAATCGCAAGGGAGGTAGGCAGAGTTCTATGGGGACAAATGTCAACTTAGCTGAATAGCCTTTATGTAACCAAAAGAGGTTAGCCATACATAATTCATTAGGAAGCTGGCAAAGGAACAAATCTAAAGATAGATTATTAGCTGGCAGCTTTTAAAATGAGCTTCAGAGGGACTGCAGCTTGGAAGTATTTATATTGGTGTAGCAGAGGGGACATATTTCATAAATCAATGAAGGGCATTAAGGTCCCAAAAGCATTCTTTTGGAAAGTATACTACTGGCTTAGGCTGAAAGAATACACTATCAATTGTCATCCAAATCATTAAAAAAAAAAAAAACCTAAGGACCCTGCTTTCTGGGAAAGAAATGGGCCACATTTTCTAGGCTAAATCAAGCCATTCGTTTCCCAAGTAGCAACTCCTAATCCAACTAAAAGTGCCAAATTGCCCTGGTGATGTGATTGAAGACTGAAACACAGCTCCTTCACTGAATTATGAGGCAAGCTCTGAATGGGATAAAAAGCTCAATGCAGCAGAGGAGGGATCATTTCTCTCTCCTCCTGTTCCTAATCCAAGTCACATCACTATTTTTCTTCTATGGAATATGTTGGTGTTTATGCTGTCAACTGGAAGAAAAGAGGTAATAGCCAGAAAAATCAAAGGCACCAACACATTAAGGACAGTATCACCTCCTGTGTGGGACAAATGAAAAGAGCTGTCAAAGCAGTCCAGCATTTACCTCCACAGCAGTTCTACATGATCTCAACACTCCCGTTCCTGTGGCGTACATCTCCGCCAGGTAATAAATGGCAAGAGGCTGCCCACTCTGAGAGGCCAAGTAAAAATATTTGAAGGCCAGTTTATAATCCTTCCACACTCCAGAGCCAGCTGAAAATGAAAATATTTATGAGCCACATTTGTTTCATTAGTTGATATTATACTCTATGGATATAATGGTCATAGTGATGCCTGCTATCTTAAATAGGTTGGGAAAAGAAAAACAATCAAACATCATGCTTCAAGGCTACGATGAGAGCAAAAAATATGGATGCTCATTTGGGCAACTAATAAAGTAGAACCATTTATCTTATCTACTTTCTTGCTTTCAGTTTATAACCTCACCCACTGCCATCCGGCTTCCATTCCAGCCAGTCCAATACTTTTACCAACATTGTCACATTGATATATCCCAAGCATACTCAGTTTTTCTTCTTCTTCTTATTTTGTTGTTGTTAAAACTAGGCTTTTCATTGCATTTCACTAAAGTGCTATTCGTTCATTGAGTCTTTCTGGAGGTCTCCACACTCTTTTTGTTCTTTTAATTCCCTTCTAGAATTCTATACTCTGTTCCTATGTATGACCATGCCTTTTCTTACCTCTTGGCGAGTACTTCCTCCTTTGCCTATTGAAAGATTAAATAGACTTTGCCAGAAAATGACGCAGACATCCAGGTACGGAGAACAACAGGTACAGAGAACAAAGGAAGGTTTATTGCTGGGAAAGGGGCTGGCAAGACCCCTTCTCACAAGGGAGAAGTGAGAAGAAGCCCCAGCTATTGTCTGAGGTGACCTATAGAACCTAGGAGGTTTAGGAGGGGCTAGAAGGGGCTAGGAGGCGGAGACCCTGGTGTGGACACATGGGCCAAGGAGTTCATCATGGCTGACTAGGATTTATGGCTGCTATCTGAATAGTAAATAAGGGGTCCCTGCAGCTGCCTGGACCTGAAGGTCACTCTAAGGGGCTCTTGTTGCTTTATATGGTGGTAGCTGCCCCAGAGAAGTGCCATACAAGGTAAAGGGAGTTGGAGGCTGATTATTTACTGCCTTTACTACATGGGCCTAGTGTCGCCTAGGAAGGGAGCGTGCTAAGATGTGGAGAAGGGAAGAAGTGGATTAAGCTATGGGAAGGGAGCTCATTTTTGCTAACACCTATCCTTTCAACAGATTACCGCATTTTTGGTCATAGCTCATCTTTCCTTTCTCTCATACACATTTCCTTCCTTTCACAATTTCAGTTACTCTTAACTCACATTGATATTGATGACTCCTATGTCCTTCTCTCCAACGTTGACCTTTTCTTGTGAGGTTTATGGTTACTTGTAGGTATGTGTGTGATACCACATTGGATATCGTCTCAAACTTAACCTTGTCACCGATGAGCTTTTGACTTCGTGCTCCCCCTCCCCCAACTGATACCCTTTCCTCAAGTCTTCCTCAAACCTTCCTCAGCTTGCTGCATGAATGCTTCAGGCATTCACCTCAACCTTTTTATTTGTGATATAAAAGTAGCATAAGTAAGTCTAAATAAAGCAGTAATATTTATAGTACCTACAGTAGTACATGAAGCCTAACTGGAACTGTGCATTAGGCCATCCTTTCTCTGCAGCTTTCTGAAAGTATTTAAGTGCTTCGGCATAATTCTGAAAGATAATTACATTCTATTATTCAAAGCTATATGTACAACTCCATGGTAACAATTATATTCCACTTTTTAAGGAGAATAAAACCAGTGCCTCATAGGCTAATTAAAATAGCATCAGAAATAAAATATATTTTGTTTCATTATTACATTAGATTCTATTAAAATTAATTAACTCACATCCACTATAAATTATATATCTTCCACATTGATAGCAAATTTTGTTAGATATTAAGAGAAGGTCACTTAAAAGACAAACTAAGCTAAGAAGATAAATTTTTCTCTCAGTAAAGTCCTCAAGGAACTGATATTTTGAAAGCTATGTAGAATCTATGATTCCGAAATACAATTAGGGTTTCTATTCTTGTCACAAGGCTTGTGATTCTTTGTCTCTTTAATGAAGATTTTACTAAATTATTTTATTCTCTATTACCAAATCTAATAATCTAGCCAAGTCGGCAATAGAGACTAATTCTTATAAGTTAATGCATGATAAATTTTACCTTATAAATTACTAGAAACATGTTGAAAGGATAGTAAAATTATTTAACTTACCACAGGGATACCTTTTCCATGAAAGTGAAGGAGACCAAGGCCATAAAGACCAATTGCATTGCCCTAGAAGAATTTTTAAAATCCAAGTAAAATTTGAGAGAAAATTCATGATAAGGAAAATCACCACAAAATTATTCAGTATATTTGAAATGCACTCAGCAAGAGATTAATGAAGACATGTTAATCAAGCAGTCGGAAGGTTATTTTGACCTATCTAACTTGTCCTTTACTATCTTTATAACCTCCCTTAAATATGAAAGAGGGAAATGAAAGTCAAATGTTTACTCCATTCCTTACTACTTATTTAATACTTGCTTTCTGTGTGATTCTAAGAGTGGTACGGGGTGAAAGATGAAAGGTGAATGAGGTATGATTGCGAAAAGTTTATAGGCCAGTGGGCTCTGAGCCATTTCAAATGTGTGGGTCACATTTCTTTGTCATGTTAAATGTGGTTAGTTGGGGAGTGAAATCCATTGAGAGCATTGTGGATATCTACAAGAGAGATACTGAACTGTACGGTTGAGAGTAGGGAGCTGAAAAGAACTCTTAGCAGGAGGGTAATATTTAAGCTTGGTTTCAAAAGGACAAATCAGTTTATCAGTGGGGGAAAGTCTATCTAGACAGTTCCTACCTACTTTAGTCAAGGAGGTAAATGACATAAATGGCCAAATGACATTTCAGGGACTCTGAATCTCAACCCAGCCACTATAGATAATAAAGCATTCTTGGAATGTTTCTTTATTCAGTTTTGACTACCTATAATATCACCAAAGTTTTCTTATCCATGTGGCTAAGTAATTATCATTTGTTTTCTGAATATTAGTCTATGTAGTACTAGAAGATAATGCTTAATTAGCATATGCTCAAATATATTAATATTTAGCATATCAATCCTGGATGAAGAGTGAATCTTGTAAGGGACTTCCTAGCTAGACAACTCTTTTCTTTCCATCTCTCTCAAGTAATTTTCCCTCTGGAGACTGTGAAAAGCCAAGTCTTGGTCACTTAGCTTTCTTTTATCAGGTTTATTTGATAGATTTATGGCATTTCTCTGTGATCTTGGAGAGGAGGGAAGGAATAATGGTGAGGAGAATGTTGCAATAGCTGTGACAAATTGCTTTTCTTCTCTGAGAATCCAGAGACTCATTAGCTGTTTTAGTCTAAAAGTACCATGTTTAGAATTTCCGGTGACCAACCCAGGTGTCTCCAGGTACTACACTGATAACCTATGGAGTACATTAAGCAGATGATGGGGAAAGTAAAGGAGGTCAAGACAAAATAGAGCCTATCTTTCCAGTCTAAAGACAGCAGCAGCTACTCAGCTACTTTGCTCCCCAGTTTTTGCCACAAGGAGGGCTGTCCTATGTGGTCAGCACTTGCTCTTTTCCAAGAAAAGCTAAATGTCTATATTCTTTCCTCCTCTGCCCCCCCCCCCGCCCCGACTCCCATCAGTTGTCATGAGCTGCAAGGTTTAAGGGAGGCACATCTCGTACAGTAGTGTGAAAACCCAACCATTACACTTAGGAACCACAAAATGATAAGAATAAAGAAGCCCTCTTGTGCTATTAATACATGTAACAAGCAAACAAAGGAAATAAAAAGGAGCTTAATGTTCAAATTCTGGTGTAAAGTTTACTGATTTTTTTTTTGTCTGAGACTGGGACTTGAACTTGGTATCTGATGCTTTTGCTCATTGGCTAGTGTTCTACCACCTGAGCCATACATCCAACCTCAAGTTTACTGTTTTATTTCTTCTTTCTTTTCTTTTCCTAATTTTTTGTTATTATTAAGGTGATATACACAGAGGTTGCCATTTCATAAGTGAGGTAATGAGTACATTTCTTTTGTGGGCAATATCACTCCTTCTTTCGAAGTTAACTGATTTTTAAAACACTTTTAATAACATGTAGGTTGCAAGGCTGGGTTCCTGTGGCTCACATGTGTAATCCTAGCTACTTAGGAGCCTGAGATCTGAGAAAAGTGATTCAAAACCAGCCCATGCAGGAAAGTCTATGAGACTTATCTCTAATTAAGCACCAAAAAAGCTGGGATTGGAGCTGTGGCTCAAGTGGAAGGGCTCAGGAACAACATCTAGACCTTGTTTCAATCCTCAGCGCATGCACACGCGTGCGAGCGTGCACACACACACATACACACACACACACACCAAAACAAACAAAAAACATGCATGTTGCCATGTTCTCATGTTACAATTTCCACATTAGGGCTGAATGCTCTCAATCAAGTTAACTGACATGAAGCTAGGGGGCAGATGACCATTTGTTTCACAAATATTTAATGTACCTACCTGGTTATGGACTAGGAGCTTGTCCTCCTTATGACCTCCAGACAGTAGGAGAGAAACTAGAAGTAGAAAACTGCAGATTCCCAGGAGTAGAGAGAGAATATAAGGAAGGAAGAAATTCTAAGCCAAGAGGAATGGGGAGAGAAAGAGTACTGTACTTGGCTTTGGAAATAAGTAGGCCTTGGAATGGGGGACTCTGGGAAGAGTGGCTTTGACAAAAGTGCAGAGATGGGGGGATTGGCCTGACTTGTTCAGTCTGATATAGAGAACCAGAGTGTATGGTCCAACATGGTACACTATAGACTCAATACCAAATTACATGTTTATGAGTCAATAAGACAAAGGGATTGTAAAATCTATAGCTTAATGTCCCAGTCCTAATATATCTTTACAAATGGAAAAAGCAGTATTTTTTAAAGTAGTAAAACAAATTATCTAGGCAATGACCAAGGAGTATGTGATTGCACCCATGTATCATAATAATGACATTCAGGGAAATTTTAGATTTCTCTCATAAAGAAAGGAAGCTGAGGATTGGAACAGGAGCAAATTCAGATCACTGTTACTTACAAATTCCTAAATAGCTGGAGAGCAGGGTTAACGTACTCACCCAACTTCCTGGTATTATTCCCTTGGGCTGACAGATCAGTGTGATTTGCCATATTATAAGAGATCATTCTGTTACCTCTTTTTCAATCTGTTCTCCCTGGTTGTCCTTCTAATATAATGGGACTCCATTAAACTGTCTTGCTGAGCAACAATTTCATAAAATTACAAGGGAGAGGAGTCCAGTACTAGCTTTCTCAGTAATTTACACCATAAGAACAGCAGCTACAAGCTGAGCTTCTCATCCTTTGTAAATAGGCTACTAAAGCAGTGCATATAGGCTTTTAAAAACTGAGAACAGTGAAGAATATTCTTGATTTAAACACATCTTTACTGTCGGCATTGCATTATAAAATTATAATGCAACGAAATGCGTCCTGCTATATGGGAATAGAACGTTTACCAGTGCTACTTGCCAAGATTAAACTGATGGATGTTGGGATGAGAATGTATTTTATGATATGAGAGTTTCAGAGTAGGCTGGGCGCCCATTGCTCACACCTGTAATCCTAACTACTCAGGAAGCTGAGATCTGAGGATTGTGGTTCAAAGCCAGACTGGGCATGAAAGTCCACGAAAATCTTATTCCAATAAACCACTCAGAAAAATGCAAAAGTGGTGTGTGGCTGAAGTAGTAGAGCACTAGCCTTGAACACAAAGAGGTTCAAAGACAGTGCCCAGTCCCCGAGTTCAAGTCCCAAGACTGGCAAAAACACTTTTTTTCAGAGTAAATCTACTGACTCTTGTCTGACAGATACCAGTCTCTGAACTTAGGAACAAAAGGCAAAGATTTCAACAACGGAGACAAGTCATAGTTGTCCCTTGGTGTCTTGAGGGGACCGGCCCCAAGATTTCCAAAGTAGAGTGCCAAAATAGTCTCTTATGTAGAATGGCATAGGATATACATATAATCGATGTACATCCTCCTAACTATAGATAACTTCTAATACCTAATATAATAATGAATGCTGTATAAATAGCATTGCTCTATTTTGCTTAAGGAATAATAACAAAGCAAATCTGTATATATTTAGTACAGATACTGAAATAAGGACACTGGGTCTAAGAAATATCATCTTGTTCTCACAGCCATCTTGGTGTCTTGCTGAATGATAGAGGCTTTCCACCCAGCTCTGAAAGGCCTAGAGGTGAGAAAGGCTGTTCTTTAAAATGCAGATGTCATTATGTTTGGCCCCAGGAAAGCTTTGCTATAGAGAATGCTTATCCTTGATTATTTTCTTATATGGTTTGCTTTGCTTGCCCCCAAGTACTCCTCTATATGGTCTGCTTTTGTTGGGTTGGGTCTCCATCCCAAACATGGGGTATTTGTCTTTAAAAGCTTTGTGCAAGCTACATTTTGGGTTGTAGGTCTTTGAGACAGGAGTCCATCTGCAGTCGCCAGCTTTCTAATAAAGACTCCCAGTTTAACATCTCAAAATGGAGCTTCTCTTGCTGGGTGCCTGTGGCTCACCTCTGTAATCCTAGCTATTCAGGAAGCTGAGGTCTGAGGATCACAGTTCAAAGCCAGCCTGGGCAAGAAAATCCATGAGACTCTTATCTCAGAGTCACTGAATCTTCGAAGTCACTGTTTCTCACTGATCTCAGACTTCAAATGATCACAGCTGATATACAAGGACTTCCTGTGTTTAGAGTTTTAAGTATTTCACAATATAAGGCACTTATTAACTCCTTAAATCCTGCCTGACATGACACTAACCAGTAAATCTTACATTCCCATTTTATAGATAGAGAAGTGAAAAACATAGAAAGGTCAACTAAGTCTATGGTCACACAGTAAGTTGCAGAGCTAGAATTTAACTAGAATTTAACTCTGTCTCCACAGCAATATATATCTATATCTATATATATTTAATATCATCTTGCCCTGACCATCTAATTTGACAACTTCCTTCCTGGGCTAGAGGAGCTCTGGCTTTTGGGTAGGATACTACAGAGGAGAAAAATTGACATTTCTTGGTTTTGTTTGTCCTGAGCTTACTGTGGCTATTGATTGAGTTTTCCCTTCCTCTGTCCTCATCTATTTTAGTTTTTGTTCCTAGGCTAGATGGCTTCATCTACCGCAGAGAGAAGACAGCTGAGCTTCTGTCTGGACTTCTGCCCGCCCCTGTGAGGGCAGCATAAGTCACCATCCTTTCTCTATTATCAAGAAGGCAAGTCCTAGCTCTCACCCCAACCTAGTGTTTCATGTTCAAGGATATTTCTCCAGGATATAAAATTCCTACAGGCCCACTATCTGGACTTGGGACATTGAAGTTAATTCTTGAGTAGCAGTTACATGTAATAAAAACCAATTGGTGTGTGTTTGTGTGTATTTAGAGCAGTGATGTGAAGACATACCTTATCAGCTGCCATGGAAAAATATTTGAAGGCAGTAGCATTGTTTTGTGGTGCTGCCGCATTCCCTTCTAAATACATCTAGAGAAAAACAAATGAAAAGGACGTGTAAACACAAGAATTTGATGGTATGAAAATAATTTAAAACTAGAGGTAACAAGCGGGAAACATGGTGAATGTAGCAATTCTCACCTAAGTATACATTGAAATACTTTTAAGTTATGTGAATTTTACCTCAGTTAAAAAATAAAACCCCATGAATTAAAATAAAAAAAACCCCACAAACTAAGGGTACCCTCTACTTCATATAGCTCAGAATGACCTTGTCCAAGAAATGGACCCCATTTGTTTTCTCATGTTTCCGGTGACTACATTATTTGACGTAGCACCTGTAAAAGCTGGGGTCTCACCCCCATGGTTACTAAGGCAACTTGATTGCAGAGGGTCAAGGGCAACACTGGAATGGAGAGAGAGTGGTCTGAGAAGGACAGAGAGCATCTTTCTCTAAAGGCCTCAGAGGACATTATTTTAGAGGAGGCATAAGACCTTGGAAAGAACAGAGCTGTTTCTTTTCCCAGGAATGGAAGGAAGAGACCCTTGGTTGGTCCGAGACCTGTATCAGTCTTCAGTGATCAAATAACCTGGATTTCCTGTTCTGAGCTGGGGTGGTTCACGAGCTCATAGATTTACCTAGTAGAGGAGCCTGAGCCAAGTGCATTTTCTCTGTCTCTGTCTCTGTCTGTCTGTCTGTCTGTCTGTCTTTCTCTCTTTCTTTTTCATCTTTTTTTCCCCATGTTGGTCCTGGGGCTTGAATTCAGGGACTGGCCACTAGCTTTTTAGTGATTAATTGGAGATAAGATTCACACGGACTTTCCTACTTGAGCTGGCTTCTAACCATAATCCTTAGATCTCAGTCTCCAGAGTAGCAAGGATTACAGGTGTGAGCCACTAGCCCCTGGCTTCTTTCTTTCTTTTTAAAAAATTATACAAACAAGTTTCAATTCAACTTGCCAGTTTATCAGTACAATGCAGATGTGCTTACAAGGTTGCTTTTGTGTCTCTGATCAAGCCTGATGCTATGTGGGACTTCTTTCAACTTGTCATCTCAAGAATATTACTCTCACTGGACACCAGTGGCTCATGCCTATAATCCTAGCTACTCAGGAAGCTGAGATATGAGGATTGCTGTCGGATGCTAGCCCAGGCAGGAAAGTCCATGAGACTCTTATCTCTAGTTAACTACCAGAAAACCAGAAGTGGTGCCATGGTCAAAGTGCTAGAGTGCTAGTCTTGAGTGAAAAAGCTCAGGAGCAGTACCTAGACCCTAAGTTCAAGCTCCACAACTAACAAAAAAAGAATACCATCCAGTTTCTACCAAATGCCTCTTGAGCTGCTACTATGAACCAGGCCTATGGACCTGTCATACCACATGCTGAATTCAATCATCTGGTACCATTCTTAGGTGCTTTCTCTTCCTTCTTTTTTCCCTCGTTCTTTTTCTCCTTCCTTTCCTTTCCTCCCCCACCCTCTGTGTGTGTGTGTGTGTGTGTGTGTGTGTGTGTGTGTGTGTGTGAACTCAAGGCCTCAGATATGCTAAGCAAACAGCTCTGCCTTTGAGCTATATCCTTAGCCTATTAGGTCTTTAAGAAATGAAAAGTATTGATCAACTTAAACACGTACCTTTCCTATAAATGCCATGGCATTTGCACTCCCAGCCTTTGCTGCCTTTAAGAAATAGTATAATGCTTTCTGGAGAGAAAAAGAAAGAAATAGCATTATTGCCAGTCACAAGTTAATTCTATGAAATGACTTATTGAATCAAACTTTATTCTTTCAATATGCATTCAAAAATATCTACAAAATGCCTACTTTGTTCAAGGCATGATTCCAAGTACTATTTAAACCAAAAACCTGAAGAGTGGGAGTATATGTATATATATACAGATCACACACACAATTTTAGAATGTGAACACTTATTTCTACCACTTGGATATGCAAGATAGACATAAGGTTTTGTAGTGAGAGAGGAACCTTAGTTTCAGAGTTAAATAGCCTATTATTTTGAAACAGTGGGCTTCTCTGTTAACACTGTGTATTTACTTTTACTACAGTTAGCAAAGTCCTAATGTTTATGTGACAGGGTAAGAACAAACACACCTGACTGCCTGGTGAAACCTGCAAAGGAGAACTTTCAATTTCTTCTAAATAAAATAGGAGTTGGGCAAAACCTCTGACTTCATCTAATTTATAACACAAAGTCATATAACAAGTCTAAGATATGTAAGAGCTGACTTTGTCTCTTGATGCTACATTGTCTAGGCCTCACCCTGATCTTCTAGAAAATCCATCAGAAACTAAATGGAGTAATAAAATAAGGATCAACTCCAGGAAGACAACTTGGAAACACTCTCCAAAGTTATACTTTAGGACAAAACTCTTTTGTTCTTTAAATTCTAAGCTAGGTTAACTGAAGAGGATTTACTACTCAAGGAGAAAATACAGTTTAAGGAAGGTATGTAAGTATGTAGATCTTTCATATGGGAATTTATCCCTGAAATGTTGCCCTCTTATTTGAAAGCCATTCCCGTGTTACTGAGGTCAGGCTGTCATGTGAACAATTACAAATTATATCATGCATCTATTTATCCATCTCTCCCATTCTTCATTTTTTCTATTCTGAAAGTCTGCTCTATGCTTGTTGGTAGTATGTTATAGATGTTATTGATGTATTATAGATGATTCACAGAGGAACAAGAAGATGGTTCCTACATTTGCTCTTTGACAATGGTGCTGAGGAGAAAGGAATATATGTTGATAACTATAAGACTGTAAGTGATAGGATAAAATGAATGCCCCAAAGAGAAGGGTATTAATTAACAGGAAATTAGAAATTATGATTAACAGGAAATTAATTAGAAATTATGCCTAGTTTTCTTTTTCTTTTTTCAATTTTTTTTGCCAGTCCTGGGGCTGAGACTCAGGGCCTAGGCACTGTGCTTGAGCTTCTTTTGCTCAAGGCCAGCACTCTACCACTTGAGCCACGACACCACATGGGGCTTTTTCTGTTTACATGGTACTGAGGAATTGAACCCCAGGCTTCATGCATGCTAGGCAAGCACTCTACCACTAAGCCACATTCCCAGCCCATGCCTTGTTTTCTTTGGAGTGTTTATAGGACTTTTTTTCTTTTTTGAATACTCACAATGTCACCATCTTTGTAATATCTGAACTTGTTTAAGGACACTCAGAAACATGCAACCAATACAAGAGTCCCAGAAACTTCCTGATTATAGTTCCCATACCCTTGACACTTGTGGTCCATGGTATAAAGAGGTAGGCTAAAGTGAGAGGCCTCACAAATGATGGAGATAAGTCATCAATCACAGAGATCAGTGCAAATCAGGGCATTATCACAAGCAAGGGAACAGAGATGGGACTTTCAAAGCTGTGTCCAGGAAACTGAAATTAATTTAGTTACCAAAGCAGAATACCCAAAAGCTACAATGCAAAAAAGAGGAGCATTAGCTTTAAAAACTAGTCTAAGGAGTTTTATTTTAGTTGGAAGGAAACAGAAGCGGTTGCAGTTTTATGTACATTAGGGAGTCTCGAAGCTAAAATGTCTAGAACATTCTAAGTTTTAGTTGAATAGGAGAAAGTTACAACAGCAGTATATGATTTGCCAAGTTAGAGAACATTAATATGACAAAATAAAAACCCTCCTTCTGAATGTCTCACATTTACATACTCAGGGTAATATTGTTGTAAATTTTTAAATATCTCTGTACACCAGAGCTGAATATGTCCCTTCCCTAGTGTGGTATTTATGCAACTTACATTACATTCAGAGTTTGTTGTCCTCACTCAGATTCTTTTTCTCTGTACTTTCAGGGCATTCTGGCCTGTTATGGCAGTCTTCCCCTGACTTGTGAGATTATTTTGGATTCTCTTCTACTTTAGCAGAGTTAAATGCTTAATAATAAGTATTCACATAATATTTCAAGAATGAATGAATGGATGGATGAATGTTTGTGAATCAAAAAAGTGACCTGAATATTCATCTTTATTGGACCTTTCAGATCAAGTTGTAGTTATTGAGAATAAAAATCAAGCATGTATTCATCCACCCATCTTTCATGTGGATGCAGTGCTATATATCACTAATTCTAAGATATATAGTTCTCTTTCTCTTCTTCCCTCCTTCCCATCTCTCTTTTATTTGTGCCCATCCTAGGGCTTGAACTCAGAGCCCCGGTACTGCCCCCAGGCAGTTTTTGCTCAAGGCTAGAGCTGTATCACTTGAGTCATGAGCCACTGGTGCCAAGATTCCCCTCTCTCATTTTAAGCAGGATACTTATGCTTGCTATAATGACATGCTATAATGTAAGTTAATATTGGCAGTTTTTTTCTTTCTTAGTAGAACATTAAATAAAGGTAGCCTGTTCCATGCATTAAGGGAAGTTTTATTATTTTAACTCTCCCCCCTCACATGAGTATGGTTTTTCATTGGTTTATGAAAATCTCAGTTTAATCAGTTTGTAATATGTCCTCTAGAATGACATGCCAAGAAAATGTATTTTTCTAAAAACTCTTATGAGCACTTTCTTTTATCTTAGGCCCTGTAAATCATCCTGAAAAAATGGATGAGATTAGCTTTCATTTTAATTGGTGGCAGTGTAGATAAAGCAGTTGTCTTTATATATTAGATATTATTCCTCTTCTCCTGTCAGGTGTAGTTTAATTCCGCTTTATCCACTGTAATAAAGCAGTTGTCTTTGTATATTTGATATTATTCCTCTTCCTCCGTCAGGTTTCATTTAATTCTGCTTTATCCACTTTAATATTTATATACCCAAATATCCTGCCCTTTCCTAATCCAACTCATTCTGAGCCTGTATATATTTAGAAATGCAAATGAAATGAAAATTTATGTGTGTAGAAAATTCAAGATAATGTAATCAAGAAAAGCACATACAATACTTTTCAGTAATTAAGGAATTAGTCAAGGAGTGGGTAAAAATGTTGCCTGTAATGGCAATGCATGAGAGATTCACCCAAACAGTAAGGAGAAGAGAAAAAGGCCAGATAGTTATTTCTGAATATTTTGGTATTTAATTTGCTGTGCAGTAAACTGCATCATCACATTTCACTTTAAAAAAATTTTCAATTGGTCAAATGCTGATTTATTTCAGTTGTAAATTTCATTATATCCCTGTAAGATTCCCTGGAACGATACTATGTAACCCATAAGTGTCCTGTAATGCTGGTATTTTATTATTAGTCTGATTACTAATATGATGTTTATAGTGAAGATTTCTAAAATTACCTTTTAATGGTGAACTCCAGAGTAAGAGTACAACATGGGAGAATAGGTCTATCTTGAATTGCTAGGATTTTGCTCTATTGGTGATTCTTATATGATCAGATAAAATATTGTCTTGGAGTTTACCACATCTTAAAAGAGCCTTATTTCTTTGGTGGACTGAAACAGCATATGATTGAAGTGGTGGTTTTCTGGCTACAAAGCAATTTACAATGTTTACCATGCTAGCATATGTTCATTCAAAGACTCTCACTGAGAATCTGGGATGTGCCAGGTACTCATAAACAAGACACATAGTAGTGAGCATGAGAGACTAGGGCATCCAATGCATTGTGGGGATACAGACAATAAAGATCAATATAACTTGGGGAATTACAGTATGATTGGATAAGTGATGGAAGATTAGGATTGATGAAGAAAATCCTCCCTGAGGGGTAAGATCTAAAAGATGAAGGCTAGATCTGGATCACATCCTTTCCTTTTCCCTTTTCCCTGTGGGTCTGTGCTGCCACATAGATAGCAATGGTAGCTTGTAAAAAGTGACCTCAGTAGTCTGCTGCTTCATCCACCATGAGGAACTGACTTCTCCATCTCTTCATTCTTCCTGGCCTGTGATGATTTTTGGCCAAAACAATGTGACAGAAGTGACTTGGAGTGCTCAGTTGGACCTCAAGACTCCCTTTGATTGCCATGTATAAAACTAGGCTGCTTGGCTGGAGGAAGAGATGCTCCATTCATCCTACTTGTCACAAATCATTCCATCACCAATGCCATCACAAGCTAGATTGCTTGGCAAATGCTCCATTTAAGTGCAGATGAATGAGCAAACCTAGCTAAGCTTCATTGAGCCTGGCCCAGACCCTGTTCAGCAGAGCCTTCCCAATATTGTTGACAATGCCCAAACCAGGAAATCAAGTGGCTATTGTTTCAAGTCATCTAAACTAGGAAATGGTTAGTTGTGTAGACTAAGCTAATCACAAGCCAATCCGTTGACTTTTTTTGACTGTAGTCTCAGGACAACTTCTTTAAGTTGAAGGAAGCAGGAAGGACCAGCCTGAGATTGCCTCAAACACTGCCTGAACCACTGGGATTGTTCCAGAATTAAAATTGCTTTCTTGAGATATCTGGATGAGAGGAGCAAGAGCCCTAACCCACTATCAAATTGTTACAGATGAAAGGGCCCTGATTGATCATGCTCTTGCTTATTGGTTTTTTTATAAACAAGGAGGCAGATTTTAGAGCCTGTATGGAAGGGTGAGGCTGAAAAGAAATACAGTTTAATAGAAAGAGCACAAGTTTGAATGCTGAAGACTGGAGTTCAAATTCTAATTCCTAACTTATTTCTCAGTTATGGCGCTTGAAGCAATTTACCTTACCTCTAATAGTCTCTGCTTCTCGTTTTGGAAGCACTTACCATGAAACCTCTGCGAATGAGCTTCTGGAACCTGACTGGGGACCTAGTGATGCCCAGCAATGCCTAAGCATTGCCATGAACATCCCTGAAACCCTTCACTACCACCCTGGCTAGTCCTTCACCCTAGTCCAAGGTACCTCTGGAAGCTCCTTTGGTGTTCATAGCGAGTAGGGCTGATTGGAAGTACCAGACTTGGAGGAGGTATCATATTGTAACAAGATTGGCATGTCATCCATACAGCTCATGTTTGGGTGCTTTGACACCCAATCAAATGAAGACCCCTTAGCAGGTTAATTTCTAACACTGAAATAATATTAATTTGGAAATCTCATTTAAGAAGATCATCTCATATGATTAGTGTTTTTTTTAACTACCTAAAAACCTTCAATTGAGCTATCTTGAGCTGCATATGCTTTTTGAAATTGCTCCTTATTTCTAATCACACTTTATGAAATTAACTTTAACATTTACTTGATGTTTACTATATCTCACATAAAACAGAAAACTAGATACCACAGAAATATTCATAAGATAAAATCAAATGAAAAATATTAACAGGTCACTTTTTTATGCAACAGCCCTGTAAAGTTTCCATCACTGTCATTGGGATTTTGTTGAAACAGAGTTTGTGTTCTTTGAGACAATAAGCTTCTAGAACATGATAAGAACTGCAAAATCATCTTTTAAAAGGAAACTCAGGGAGCCAGACACGGAGGGCTTACACCTATAAACCTAGCTACTTGGAAGGCTAAGGATCAGTGTTCAAAGCCAGTCCAAGTATACAACTCCAAGAGCCTTATATCTCCACTTAACCAGCAAAAAGCTAGAAGTAGTTCTGTGGCTCAAATGGTAGAGTGACAGCCTTGAGGAAGAAAGCTTAGCAAGAGCTTGAAGCCTTGAGTTCAAGCTCATGTTATACCAGCACAAAAATTAAAAGAACCGTAGAGATAACCCCTGGTCTGCAGTGACGAGACCCTTGAACCCACAATTAGAATCTACATAGAAGTTTATCCTATGACTCTGGTATTTCACTGTTTATTTGGCCTTTTCTCTCTACTATAAATGTGAATGGTTCATGAATCCTCTAACTTTACTGAGATGCTTTATGGCTAAGAAAAGGAAAGGAATTTTTGTAAATGTAAAAGCTGTTTGATGTGTTGTTAATTGCAATGAAAAGAATCTCCGCACTGGAGGTGCGGCTTGAGTGATTAGAACAACATCTGTGAGTGGAAAAAAAAATATGTTCCCTGATCTAGCCAAATGGGAATGGAGTTGTTGCTTAGCAGAAACTTCCCAGGTGGACTTTTATTCAGCTGACCTGGAAGGAGGGGAATATTTAAGGCCTGTGGGTTGGGGGTGTTTTTCTAACCTAACCATACCCTTACAGTGTGTGGGAGTAGTTATGCTCAAGTGTGGGTTCTCCCTGCCCCAATGGTTCCCTTAGAAGCTCCTGCAATTTTGTACTTGAAGGCAGGTAGAAAAGTTCTCCATTTGGTGAATTTCCTTCTTCCTCAGAAGCAAGAAAGCAGGGAGGTAGGGATGGGCTGTCCTTGGCAACACTTCTACCTATCCCTGGTTTCCTTTTTCACTGTTCCCAGTCTCCCTCCCTCACCATTTTCCTCTCCACACTATATGACTAAATTTTGAGGTTGACTTACATAGTAATCTTGATCTAGACCTTTCCTCCCAATAAGATGTAATTGTCCAAGAGATACCTAGGAGCAATGATTTTAAAAAATGATTTTAGTACAATATTAATTTAAATTTACTTGGTGTTGATTAACTATAGCATGTTAATCCAGTTTGAGGCAGTTGGTGGATTTTGAAAAAAAGCTGGAAGCTGGACATAGGTGGCTCATGCCTATAATCCTAGTTATGTAGGAGGCTGAAATCTGAGTATTGTAGTTTGAAGCCAGCCTGGGCAGAAAAGTCTGTGAAACTCTTATTTCCAATTAACCACAAAAAAATTGACATGGAGCTGTGGCTTGAGTGGTAGAGCAGTAGTCTTGAATACACAAGCTCAGGGACAGTGTCTAGGCCCAGAAGTTCAAGCCCCAGGACCAAAAGGAAAGAAAAAAGCTGGCAAACATTCCTGACTATATTTTTTCATTAGAAAATTAGTTGCTATTGGGCATATGGTTTCCTTAGTAGCAGGACGTTAGCTGCTGGGTATAGAGCAATCATGGGCACATGAACCTAGGGGACTTAGCTCTTGGCTTGGCAAAGGTCACACAAATACTGCCCCATTCCCCAAGATAGTATTTCTAGATCCTTGTATGATTTCATATATATCAAAGACAATATTGGATGGTGCCTTTTATCCTCCTTATAATTAAAACCTAGGCTTTAAAAAATATTTTTTAGGAAGAAATAGAAAAAAACCCCAAATCTTAATATGGCAACTGATTCTCCACATAGGCAAGTGATAGGGGATAAAACAGAAATAGGGCAAAGAGGAGAAAGTGCCTCTTCCCTCCCTTTCCCATTCAATTTGGGGACATTGCTAATCCCTCCAGAATTCAGAGAACCAAGTCCCTTGTAATTTGCATGTTTTAAGAATTCAGACTCTTCTGAATACATTACTTGTATCTGAACATCTCCTCTTTCTGCCAAAAATTTATAGTATTGGTATATGTCCCAATCCAAAATCTCACTGTTAGAACTCAAATTTTCAGGCCTCTCAGTGAGTCTCACTTTTTCCACTGGAATACCTTCACTTTTTTCCAACTTGTCAGCAACTATGAATAGAAACAACCCAGAAAAGAGTTAGAAAACATAACCCGAAAGGGATAACAGTCAACTTAGAGAAAACAGTTGAACTTAGTCTCCTAAAATTGTGGTAAAATGTGTCTGATTGACAGTGAAAACCCACGGGAAAAAAGAAATTTTTATTCTTTCAATAGTTCAAAAAAACCAGCTATTCTTTTCAATTCACATAAGCATTATCAACATATATTGAACTCTTCTGAATAAATTGGTCAAGGAGTCTCAAGAAAAGAGATTTTAGAAACGGCTAATTCCATCTGTGCCAACATTTTCGGGAACTGGTAATCCAATATAAGAAGAATAACTGTTCCTTAGTTATTGCTTATAGATAGTCTGGAAATAAATATGAAGATAAGCATGCTAGAATTTAACAAAGTATGCAGTTTAAAATATTATACATAGTAATTCCAATTTTATTAAGCATATAAAATGATCTTGTTATTTATATATATAGCATCTCAAATTCAAAAGTAATTTATTTTTTCCCTTTCTTTTCTCAGATTCCAGTTGTGGCAAAGATATGGTTCATTTCTAGATTTAGGTGTTATTCTAAATCCAGAAATTAACCAAATGGGCTTTGCCTTATTCATTTCTTGGAAGATTTTTATTTTAAACTGTAGTATAGATTCTGCTTCCATGCTGTCACAGCTGAAATGTTACATACAAACTTGAAAGTGATTCTAGGCAAGACTAGGGACAAAGCTCAGGTGATAAAGTGCTTCCAGATTTTAAAAGAAAAGACAGAGAGAAAAAAAGAAAGAAAACAAAGCAAAGAAAGAGATAGAGGGCGGAAGAGGGGAATGAGGGAAGGTGTGAAGGAAGGAGGGAAGGAAGGAATGAAAGAGAGAGAAAGAAGAAAGGATTCCAGGAAACATAGATTAGTCTCATGTTGTGTGTTTTGGAGACAAAGCATAAGGTATTAGAATAGTAATTGCTTGAATTTACTTGGATGCAGTGGTAGATATCTCCAATGTATATGTCTGTGTGTATTTCATTAAGTACTTTTAACAGCCATTTTACATTGTAAATATTAGGTTTGGAGTAAATGCTTAATATTTATTGGTGATGCATTTAAAGTTTTTTTGCATTTAAATTTTTTATTTAAACAATGAACATCACAAAAATATGTAAAACAGAAGTGTTTGGAGATAGATTAATAAAAAATAAAAGATGAATGCAATCATTTTTGAAGTGTCTCAGAAAGCTGAAACTCCACAATGATTAAAAGAAATGTATTAGCAGATGCTAAGAGCATAGAGAGCTATAGTACTTTCATAAATTTATGTTGATTAGTATTGATTGGTTAAGGTTGTTTAATCAGTCTGGGATTTTTGCAGTGATAGGGAATGGAACTCAGGTTTTTGTGTTAGACAAGTGCTTTACCATTGAGCTATAGCCCCAACCTCATGTCTGTTTCCCTTAAAATAAATTATGGGGATTACTCACTATAATCTGCTACTTTCTTGTAATGATTTAGCGCAACTTCACAATTTTGTAGAACATTGATTCCTGACAAATACCGGTACCCCTAAAAACACAAGAATACATATTGTTAACATTCAGATAATATTGTATTTATAATATTTCTACTTGACTCAAGAATATTTAATTTACAAACCAGAATCATCTGGGACATCATGCTTCCTCCAGCACTTCCAAAGGTATAATATATCAATGCCTAAACAAAAATAAAGCAAAATTATATTGTTTTCAAGTTAGGAACTCAAGTCAACCACTAATTTTCACTCCTACTCTAGCAATGAATCTTTAGCTACTTCAAAATAAATTTCAAATTTCTCTTTTAAAATGGGTGCTATTTATCAAGAATGGCATTATTATTAAGACTGTGGAATTTTTAATAATATTTAATATTTTATAATATTTAAATATTTAATAATATTTAAATATTTTAATAATATTTCCATTCATTTTATTATCATAAAATCCCTAGAAAGTAGATACTATCTGCCTTTAGCTATGAATGTAAAATATGAGACTTTAAGAAACTCCTACTAGAAAAATGTTAAATTTCTCTGTTGATTGGATGCTTCTAACAATAAAGTAAGTCCCCTAAACAATAGATTCTGCCCAGGCATGGTGGCACATGCCAGTAATCTTAGCATTTGGGAGGCTGGGACAAGAGGATTACAGGTTTGAGTCTAGCCTGTCCTATCTTGTGAGATCTTGTCTCGAAACAAAAACAACAAAAGAATATATCTGATTCAAATAAATAAATTTAAATAAACAAATGTTTTATTCCCCCCAAAAGATAATAGAATTGACTTTACCTTGGCTTGATCGTATTCCATTCCTATTCCATAAGAAGACAAAAATCCTAAAGCCTAAAGTACAAATGAAAACATATAGCTAGATATGTCATTGGCTTCACAGTTCTTACCTATGATAAGGAATATTTGAAAGGTCTGCTCCATGATAATTTGTATTGTTAATTTATTTGTTAAGTTCCAACAAAATTCTTTGGTTAAAGCTGTGAGAATTTGGGAAAGGTCACAATGGTGGAAGAATTATATAATATATATGAAGATGAGCTAATTCTTACTGTACTTTAGAATGAATAATAATAAAACATTTTAAACCAGTGGTCATTATGTATTTTACTTACTTAGAACCAGTTTTTTACCTGCAATATCTTACAAAGTACATTTGAATATTTTTTTCAGGTTTTTAAATGAAATAGGATTGGTGCAAAATATTCAAGCAGTAAGAAACACATTGAGTAAACTGTTACAGTCTAATCCCTGAACAAGTTGAAAGAATAGAAAGTCTCAGACTGTATTCCCCCCTCTCTGGCCCCCCGAAACAGACAAAGCTTTCAAAAGATCTCCAGAAACCATTTAAGTTGTAGTGAGCCACCAAGCTGAAAATAGAGATGATGAAGCCTGGTAGAAGGTTGCCAACTTCTGATGGTTTGACCTACAATTTCTCAGCTTTGGGATGGTGTGAAAGCAATATGTGTTCAGTAGAAATTGAACTTCAATGCTTAAATTTCCAGCTTTTTCTTGGTTAGTGGCATGGGATTGAACACTTTCTGAGGATGCTGGGCAGTGGCAGGTTCCCAGTTAGCCAATGAGATCACACAGTCAACTACTGACACCCGACATGTCCTGTGTTGCAGATTTACAATGTTTGACAAGTCTATGAAATGGATTTTTGCCATTTGATGAGTTTATTGGGACATACTATCTCACATTTATGTCTCCCAGCATGCTTTTACTGTGAGCTATTCTCAGTTCTAGAGACGATTGAAATAGTTTCTAGGCTTTATGCCTCACCTCTGCATTCTACAACTCTCCACTATTATTACCACTCTCTATCTACCAGTATCAGGCTCACATTTCCATTTCTTCATCTGGTTCATAAAAACATTACAGGAGACATGTAAAATGTCTAAAATCTAAATATGCATCAAGGTGTGGTAATTCAATCACCTCAAAAAATGGGTAATTTTTTAAAGTTTTAATTGTAATTTTGCAAGGCGAAACACTCTTTTCTGTCTTTTCACCTCTCTCTGCATCTCTGTCTCAATCTCTCTTTATGGTACTGAAGATTAACTCAGGGCCTTGAGCTTCCCCAAATGAGCAATGCCCTCCATCCATTTGCTGTATAGTTTTTGCTTCTTCCATAGGGTCTCTTATTAACTGCCTGGACTGGCCTCAGTTGGCAATCTTCTCACCTCTACTTCTCAAATAGCTCTGATTACAGATGTACACTAGCATACCGGGCCTGTGTTACTTTTTAAATTATGAAACTGCAGAGTTCTGTTTCCAAAAGCATAATGTCTCTAACATAGTTTATAAGTACAGTTCATATATCAAAAATTAAAAACAAAACAAAAAACTTCTGTGATTCTGAAAAGTCCTCTTTAGTTGTCCAGGTTTCCTCTTTAGGGAACTTACCTCACAATTGTTTTTATAAATGGAAGACATCTGAATTTTGGTACTCCGGTAACCCTTGCAATGTATATTTAAAATGATTAAATTGGCTCCTTTCAGGGACATCTCCAGCCAATTTTAGATTATTTTTCAAAATTTTGTTGCAACTCCCAGCAGGTTTTTTCCCCTTCTGCTCAATTTAGAATCTAGTTCACTGATGCAGAAACTCTGACAGTAAACAAATACACTGACCTTCATGTAAGAAAATGAAGGTACAATTCTATTCAATTTAGGCCTGTATTTTAGAGCCACTTACAACCAACGGTATCATTGTGTACAGCCTCGCCTGCTCTTTTGGTCTGATCCTCCTGGAAAAATACATGAGCTCATAAAGTTATGAAGAGGCTTGTGTGGGAATTAAATTAACATTCTGTGACAGTGAAGGGGAGTGTTTCTGTAGAAAGCCCACTCCAAAGAGTAAGGACTAAAATAATGATTTTTATCAGCCTTGAATAATCAAAGGCTGGGCTTCCTTTCTCTTTAGCGTAAAAATAACATGGAGTGACTTGAGTTAATTCTCGGAGGAGGGGGAGGTCAACTTTACTGTATTCTTGGTATTTCTTTTAATTCTGCTTAAAGCATGCCTGGACATTCCAGAAAGTCAAAAGATGTCACGAGCTGTCCTGTGGTAAAATACACCGATTATTGTCAGCACAGACCTACTCTTTTATATGTCACGTATTGCCATGTAACAATTTCACATTCTTTGGCTTAGTTTGTTTGCTTGTTTGTTTCTGGACTCAGTCTTTTTCTGAGAAAAGGACAAGATAAAACAAAGATGGATTCTAGAATGACTAAGTTTTCATCCAGGAAAGAGAAACATGATGAATTGAAAGAGAAGCTACAGAATAGTGATGACATCAAGGACATTTTTGGTGGTTTTTAATGGTCAAACTCTGCAAATTGGATTGTTCATAAGACTCAGATACTAAACTCAACCACTTTGGCATGGCTTTTAAGGAAGTGTTACAGTGGCTGGGGTTGCATGGGAAGAGTTAAGTATAAAGGATGTTTCACTGTACTTCAAGGTAAATTATTCAGGTTCTATAGTAACAATTTCAAAATTAAATATTCCTTTTGCTTTTTTGTGCAAAGGATTATTAAGGGAGAAAAAAAGATGAAGCAATTTTCCTTTAATTATTGTATGAGGCTTGAAAGCTCCTGTGATCATTACTTTTAGTTCAAATTGAGTTCCAAAGAAAAGCATGAAGGAACTCTAACGAGCATCTCAGACACTGTCTGTACTCTAAATACAAAAAAGCATCAGCATCAAGCAGTGCTTTACACAGGTAACTCTAGACTGATCAAAGTGATTATTAAGTTGATACTAAAAACATTTTTTCACTTGTAGCATAGTGCTAATAACTATAGCCCTACCACAATTCATACCTCCATAATTTGATTTTTGGATATAAAAGAAGAATATATAGAATCTTTGTCATTGAGACATGATTATTCTAGAATCCTAAAACACAATAAAACATGGAGTTAAGGGATTTAAATCAAGGGATTCAAATAGGGAAGGAGAAGTCAAATTATTGTTATTTGCATATGACATGATCCTAGTTTTTTAAAAAAAACCTAAATATTCTAACCCAAACCCCTCCTAAATAAGCCAGTTACCAGTAGCTCACACCTGTAATTCTAGCTACTCAGGAGGCTGAGATCTGAGATCACAATTTGATGCCAACCTTACAGGAAAATCTGTGAGACTCTTATCTCCAATTAACTACCAAAAAACTGGAAGTATTTCCATTTCCTAACAAATGGGGCAATGTCATTCTTTCTGATGGAGGCATAGAATTCCATTGTGTATATATACCACATTTTCTGGATCCATTCATCTACTGAGGGGCATCTGGGTTGGTTCCATATCTTAGCTATGGTAAATAATGCTGCAATAAACATAGTTGTGCTGGTAGCTTTAGTGTGGTCTTGTTTGTAAACATTTGGGTAAATGCCCAAAAGTGGGATTGCTGGGTCATAGGGGAGTTCTATGTGAAGTCTTTTGAGGAACCTCCATACTGCTTTCCAAAGTGACTGAACAAGTTTACATTCCCACCAACAATGAAGTAAGGTTCCTTTCTGTCCACATCCCCTCCAGCATCTGTTGTTGTTAGAGTTCTTGATTTTTGCTGTTCTAACTGGGGTGAGGTGATATCTCAATGTTGTTTTGATTTGCATTTCTTTTATGGCTAGGGATGTTGAACATTTCTTCATGTGTTTATTGGCCATCCTTCTTTTTTCTTCAGAGAAGTTTCTCTTTAAGTCTTTAGCCCACTTATTTATTGGGCAGTTGTTTCTTTGAGGATTTGTTGTTGGGGGGTTTAATTTTTTGAGTTCCAAGTATATTTTAGATATGAGACCCTTGTCCGTTGTATGGCTAGTAAAGATCTTCTCCCATTCCGTGGCCCAAAGAAACATAGGTCCCATGGTTTCCCTTATTTGCAATATCTAGTATATCTATGAGTCAAGCGGAAAAGGTCAGATAATGTGATGTCAGGAAATTGAACCTTTAGATACATATCTTAATGTTTTTTTCTTTCATGCATGTGTTTCTAATGCACTTATAAGATTATCTCTTTGTTGCTTTGTATGTCCCTCCCCCACAGTATAACCCCTGCTTTCACTATATTTGATGTCAGTATAACTTGAGGAGGAGATGGGGAAAAACCAGTTGTTTAAAGATACAGGTGGACCTGTTGCAACAATGAGAAGTACAGGTTGTCGTGTCCAAAACGAGCTTTACAACGTTGGTGCGGGGGGGGGGGGCGGGGAAGGGGGGGAGGAGAAAGATTGGGATTGGGGGGGAGGGGGGAGGCTGGGAAGGGATGTGAAGGGTAAACCAAAGGAGGAGGCTGCAATGCTTGGTAAGAAATGTACGCATTATCCTGCCCATGTAATTGTAACCCCTCTGTACAGTATCTTCACAAATAAAATTAAAAAAAAAACTGGAAGTAAACCTGTGTGTCAAGAGGTAGAATGTTAGCCTTCAGCAATAAGGCTTAGGAACAGCACCCAGGCCTTGGCTTCTTCAAGCCCCTGGACTGGCACAAGAAAAAATAAATAAAAGAGAGAAAAGAAAACTCCTAGATTTGATAAACACTTTTGATAACAGAATAAAAAATCAACATATAAAAAGCAGTAGCTTTTCTATACACTGACAATGAACAAGCTGAGAGAGAAATCAAGAAAATTCCAGGGTGGGAGACATGATTCAGTTGCTAGAGCACTAGTCAATGAGTGAAAGTGTTAGGTACTGAGTTCAAGTTCTAATCTTGGGCCAAAAGAAAAAGAAAAGAATTTCATTCACAATAACCTTAAAAATTTAAGTTAAATATTTTTTTGTCGGTTGTGGGGCTTGAACTCTGGGCCTGGTGATATCCTTGAGTTCTTCAGCTCAAGACTAGTGCTCTACCACTTGAGCCACAGCGCCACTTCTGGCTTTTTCCATTTATGTGGTGCTAAGGAATCGAACCCAGGGCCTCATGCATGCAAGGTAAGCACTGTATCACTGAGCCACCTTCCCAGCCCTTAAATACATTTTAAATAAATAAAAGTAAGTTAAATAAATAGCAAAGTAGTACATATGCATGAATAGAAAGACCATTTAGAGAGAAGAAAACAATATAAAACTACTTAAAAAAAGAAAGGAATAGAGCCAGGCACAGGTGGCTCACACCTATGAGCTACTTAGAAGGCTGAGATTGAGGATCATGGTTTGAAACCAGGCAGAAAAGTTAATGATACTCTTGTCCTCAATAAATTATTCAGAAAAAATCTGGAAGTGGCCATGTGGCTCAAATGATACTATGAAGAGGCTCAGGGACAGCACCCAGGCTCTGAGTTCAAGCCCAGGACTGGCAAAAAATAATATAAAAATAGCCAAAATAGTGTCACCACTTGGAGATTACCATTACTGGTTTGAATTTTCTTAAGGGTAATAAAATATAAATGACCTATTCCTTGATTCTTTTTGTAGTACTCTACCTTGAACCATATACTGAGATCTGTTTCTTGATTTTTTTTAAGTAAATGAGGTTTAATTTCCTGCCTGGAAAATTAATGGACAAATTTCTTATTGAGAACAGTTTATCTATATGAAGAAAAGAATGAGTTTCTTATTTCTCAGTTTTTGCCTCCTAAATGAGAACTAGAAAATTGAAAAGTTACAAGTGAACTATCTATATCCAACCTGGTAAACACAGTACCTTACAGGACATCTTCCAGATTATGAGAGCTTGAAATCTCCTCAATTCCCACTATTTCATTGAAGACTTCTCTACTAATAGTTACTGTTACAGATTCTTTCAAATCATCTTACTGGGATATTTTCATAATGTAAATTGTTTTTGTTGCCCTTCACAGAATTTCCTTCAGTTTATTTTGCTACATGAACCAGTCAAGGTATGAAAAGAAGTAATTAGGCCTCTTTTCCTCCATCTAGCTTCTCTTTGTATAGTAGTCTAAAATTGCATTCCTCCCCTCATGTTCTCAAGGACACTTTTAAGTGTGGCATTGTTTTTCTTTGTTAATTTGTGTATTCTTATTAGTTCTCTGACATCCCATCATCATCTGTAATGCATCAGAACTTTGTTTTCCTCTGCATGTGTTCCTGTCCTAGCTATACTTCTGGCTTTTTGGTGGTTAACTGGAGATAAGAGTTTCACGGAGTTTCCTGCCTAGGTTGGCTTTGAACTGTGATCCTCAGATCTCAGCTTCCAGAGTAGCTAGGATTACAGGCGCAAGCCACTAATACCTGGCTATGAGTACTTCTGATTTATTTTCCTCTCCCCACTTCAGAGATGTAGTATCCTCTGTATCTCTCCAGCCCTGCAACTCTCTCCTATTCTTGCTCATTTTAATTTCTAGCTTCTTTAGTTGCATTTCTTTTTAAAATTTTTATTTTATTGTAATGGTGCTGTACAGAGGGGTTACAGTTACAAGAGCTAGATAATGAGCACATTTCTTGTTGAACATTGTTACTCCCTCCTTTGTTTTTATCCTACTAACCCTTCCCTGCCCCACCTCCCTCACTCCTCTCCCCCAAAGTTATCAAGTTTATTTCCAGCATAGTATCTTGTGAGTCTCCTTGTTGTGATGGGTCATCCTGTATCCTTGTTGCAGCATTTTGTTATTCCCCTTCCCCTCGCCAAGTTAGATAAATGTATATACAAGATGCAAGGCACCAAAATCAAATGCTTAGGTACATTGCACTTCTGTTGTGCTATTGTCCTTACACTTTCCAACAGTGCCAGCAGGTTCCCTATATTAGACTAGCACAAATATCAGGAGAAGGATAGTGGTCACTGGGCAGCACTATTAAGCTTGACTCACTGTAGCCTGTGGCCAACCTGGTCTCAGGACTTAGCCATTGAACTAAGTACTGTTTGTGGCATAAAATCTCCTTCACTCTTTCTTTTTAATACAAGGAACTCAATCAAATGTAAGAGGATTTGCTATTGGAAACATTTTTCTATAGTGTTCACAGGAATAATAGTAGAAATGTAGTCAAATCCAGCTATAGAGCTGCAACAGGGTAGTTGAGGGTTCTAGATGTTAACCTTACATTTGCATAACATGGAGAGTTCGAGAAGAGTCTTGAGTGAGGAATGAGGACGTCCAGGTGGTCAGGGAGCGCAGAGGATGGCTTAGGCAGAGGATTTTTTTTTTTAACCATCAAATATAATGTTGCAGTGTTCCAATAAATAGCAGGGCTGGATTTCGCATAGTAGACCACTGTTAGCCATTTGGATTAATTTTATCTTACTTACACTCTGTCTTCTGGTCCCTCACAAACTAGACACACACCTATTACACAGATAACTTCATTTTTTTATAGACAAAAGAAAATGAAATGCAGAAAGAACAAGTCAAGCCAGATAAGGTGGCACAAGCCAGAAATCCTAGTTATGCAGAAGGCATATGTAGGAAGAGCAAAGTCTGTCCCTGGCATTAACCTTGCATTCTGTATAAAATGTAACTATGTCAAGAATCCAGAGCTCTCAAATGAGCCCTTAGGGTCTCTCACCTTAGGGTGGATTGGAGAGCAGTTCTCTTTTTTTTTTAATAAACTTTATTTTTTAATTGAAAGGGTGATGTGTTGGGGGGGGTTACAGTTACCTAGGTAAGACAATAAGTACATTTGTTTTTAATTATCATTACCCCATTGTTTTTTTTGTTTTGTTTTGTTTTGTGTGTGTGTTGGGTGGGGGTGGGGGGTTGCAGGGTTTGAACTCTGGGCCTGGACGCTGTCCCTCAGCTCTTCAGCTCAAGGTGAGCGCTCTACCACTTGAGCCACAGCACCACTTCCGATTTCCTGAGTGGTTTATTGGAGGTAAAAGTCTCACGAACTGCTCCTGCCTGGGCTGTCTTTGGACCGCAATCCTCAGATCTCAGCCTCCTGAGTAGCTAGGATTACAGGCATGAGTCACCAGCGCCTGGCTCTACCCCCATCTTTCTTTATCTCCCGCTTACCCCTCCCTATCCCCACCCCCCGCCCGACCCCCAAGTTTGTAATGTTCATATCCTACGTAGTGTCAAGTGAGTATCAAGATGGCTCATCCTTTGTTCTGATGTTTCTGTGATTCCCTTTCCTTTCCACATATTGCATTGTCTATTATGTAAAACACGAGGTACAAAAAGCTAAGAGAAATGAGGAAAGGAAAAAAAACAATAATAGAGAAAAAAGAATGAATTATAGACTGGGTCTAATGAGAGGCTCTTGTTTCCATGAGTTGGGATTCATATTAATATGCTTCATTATATATAGTTCTTGACACTAAGCAAGTGGGTTCTTGAGATCCCTTGTTAAGGGTATCTTCTACATATTCTAGTTCTAACAAATGAGGGAGCTCATGAGACCTGCTTTTCTTTGGGTCTGGCTTACTTCACTTAATATAAATTCCCCCAAACTTTTCATTTCCTTATGAATGGAACAACAATGCTGGAGGAATTTCAATACTAAACCTCAAACCCTTTACAAAGACATAGTACTCAAAACAGCTTGGTATTGGCACAAGAACAGGCCCAAGGACCAATGGAACAGATTCGAAGACTCAGAAATGAACCCACAGACCTATGGCCACCTAATCTTTGACAAGGGAGCAAAAAACAAAAAAAAAAGGATGGAAGAAAGACAGCCTCTTCAATAAATGGGGCTGGCAGAATTGGCTAAACAGGTATAGAAAACTAAAGTTAGATCCTTATTTATCACCCTGTACCAGAATCAACTCCAAATGGAGAGCAGTTCTGTTCCTTAAAGTCATCTGTTTGGAATAAGGTACCAGGGGTCCTGCAGCATTACTGACCTGACACTACTATGTCTATGTGCATACGACCACATTACCACAGCCTAGCTAGCGCTGGGGGCTGCAGTAGTGTGGGAACACTATTGTAAAACTTCTTTTATGTGTTATTGTTCTTTTGTTATTTCAGGATGGAGCTATTTAAAGTTTTGTTTTCTTTCAAAACTCACATTTTGGGCTTTGTATGATCCTTCTTTAGCCAGGGATTCATATAATTGGATAGCTGCTGTTATGTTTTGCATGCCAAAATTTCCAAATAGCAAAGCATCAGCCATTTTCTCCATTGCTTTCAAATTTCCCATGTCAGCTGCTTTGGCAAAAAGCATGTAGGCTCTGTTTCAAGAATATAATGTCAAAAGGGTGATTTAGAAAAATGAAATTTTCTGCTCCTTCCTTTATGTGACTTCTTTCTAATAAGTAGTACTCTGTTGTCACAATGCAGCTGAGCTGAAGTCTATTATACCTCTAGATTTGTTGATTTATTTTACCTTTAGATCAATCTAAGGTTATAATTTCAAATACATTTAACAAATAATAAAGCTACTAATAATGAGAAATACATAAGATATGTCATCCTTAAGCTTTATGTGGTAAGTAAAGTAAAAACTCAAAGCAGTCATCCTAAAATAGCAAATTCTTCCATGCCCATCTCTATTATTTATAGATATTTGTTTTGTAAAGCAACTTCTGAAAATATGAGAATACTCAAAATTTAAATGCTGCATATGGGAGTTTATCTCATGCAAATAATGAGACACTTACATTTCTTAAAGCAACACTTCTCTTCAATATAGCAAAGCCAGGTTACTTGGAAAATCAATATCCAAACAAAAGTTCAATCGATAGGACTCTTCAGTTTTGTTGTTTGGAATCATATTCTGGCTCCACCAGTTACTAGTTGGAAAATTTCAGTCAAGTTACCTAGCCTCTTTGTGCCTCTTTCAGCTATGAAATGAGGATAACAGGACACTTACTCTGTAGGGTTGCTGTAAAGATTAATTGAGATAATCTTGGCATCATGCCTGGTAAGCGTAAACCCTCAATAAATTTAGCTATTACTATTAGAACCAAAGTTTTACAACTTAATAATTTCTCCTTAATTAGGTAGTAATGGTGTGAAATTTTAGTGGTTGAAAATATAGTTACTGTAGGATTGCCTGACACTGCATATTCTGAACTTCAGCCCCCAAATCACCTGGACTTTCTGTGTGTGACAAGTAGTGATGAAGAATCTCATAGGTCAAAATGTGTTAAGAGACAGAAAGTACTTTGGGGATGTACTTTTACTTTTATAATTTCCTTTTTTTGTTAGCGCCAAGTCTAGAGATCATTAACCTCTATATTCATGTATTTGACTCAAATATAAGAAAATGTACGGGTACACCCCCCTCTACATCATTGTTTCCAATTAAGAATGATCAGGCAATTTTGTGTAGAGTGTCTTTAATGGTGAGACAAGAAGCTGCTCCTTTACAAAGACTGGTGCAGAACAAGTTGGGCCAAAAAGGCCTCAGAAAGCCCCTCAACGAAGGAAGCAGTAGAGGTCAGCATGTTCTAGTAGAACAGAAAATGGCAGACATCTAGAACCAGGAGGGCAAGAAAGAACTTATCCAGGGATAAAGCAAGCTTAGCATCTTGAGGATGGGGCAAACAAGGAAGAAGGTCTCAAAAAACTGATACCTAGGATAGGTAGCAGAAGGATAGGCTGACATTGGGATACAAATGCACTTGAATGGCTTTTATCACAAGGCTTGCTGTTGTAACTTATCTAGCCTGCAGGAATGAGAAGTCTCCAACAGGGACCAAGATGTAGAAACCTGATATGGATTGTAGAAGCATTCCATTGTATATCTCATCTGTCCAAGGAACAGCAACAGGCCACAAAGCCAAGCTCTATAGGTTTATGGATTATGTGGACACTGTTAGGTATCTGGCTTCCCAGTCAGGGAAATCCAAAGTATAAAACAGATGCTGCAAATAGAACAAGTTGCTTCTGGTTAGGCAAGATTAAGTTCCACATGCAATCCTCAAAAGGGAAAAAGTAGAAGGAACTAGACAGCAGGAATAGATCTGGACAATAACATTCAGTTAGCTATCTGTATGATCACCAAAGCAATTGGGTGTTAAGTGGGTATTGGAGGGAGAAGGGTCTAAACATTCCTCCAACACAGATCAGCAGCATATCTGAAAATGCTGATGTGGAATAATTCTAAATGGGGGACCAACAATGGCTGTCACTGAGATTTCCTGACTCCCTCAGACAAATTTGTGTCTCTCTTGATAAATGCTTGCATGATAAGTGTACTTTTGTGTGTGTGTGTGTGTGTGTGTGTGTGTGTGTGTATGTATGTGTGTGTGTGTGTGTTTCATTTCTGAGAATTGAACTCAAAACCTTGAGCTTGCCAGGCAAGCATTAGATATTTTAGTGGCACTTCCAGTCAATATGTATATTTTTAACAATACTGACGCTTTCAACAATGCTACCTATTTATACATAAATAGATGAATGAATGATTAAACAAATGATCGAATGATTCCAGAATGTGGGTAAGCTCAAAGCACGAGTGCCATTTCCATGGGAAGGTGCAAAGCATGAGTAGATAGAGGGATTCCCTTCTAGTCAGCAAGGTATACATTAAATTTCTCTTCACCTTCCTGAATCTTGAAGAAGACAATAGTGGTGATTGGCTGAAGGAGAACATGGGCTATTCCGACAGCATAAAGGATTTGCCCAGCTTCCTCACAAACTCCCAGGATGTCTTGTGATTAGCAAATTTGGTTTTAGTTCTCCATTGCTGTTAACTCAAAAGCATCAGGTGACTCAGGCATTAGATATCCTCTACTGCTATGTAAAACAGCTACTCTTCTGTCACTCCTAAGTAAGGACTAGATTAAGACAATCTGGGCAAGAATAGCCTGGAATAAAGTCCTTAAATTTAAAGGCTGGTTTGCTGTTTGGACTGGGTTTTGTTCCAGTCCAACCTTTAAGCAAAGGCTAAGAGAATCATTAAGCTAGATAAATAATTCTCTGTTTTCACTTACTAAGTGAATTCCTTAGTAAGATAAATTCCATATTAGGATAGGTTGTATTTTAGGGGTCTGATTTTTACCTGTCCTTATCAAAACAGTCATCAGGGACGCTTAGCAGGAGACCAAAATCATGCTGGGAGTATTTCCTTTGTTCTTGCAAAGAGTTTATGAATCACCTTCTCCTAAGGAAAGGAACAACTTTCTCATCTCTCTCTTCTTGTCACTTTGGAAGAATTACAGAATCTTTTTCCCTCTCCATTTCCTCATTTGGTTGGGGGATAATAATCCATGCAGCACTGAGTAATATCGAACTTAGCCAGTAGGAAGTGATCATGAACAACCCTCATCTTCTATACTTCTGCACTTTCCTCAAAGGCTTCAGGTTTTGACACGTTTGTAAAGACACAGGCAACAAAGAGGAAGAATGGGTGTGGAGGACCACAGCTTATTCACCTCCTTGCTGTGTATCTATGTTTGTCTCACTGTAAGAACATTAGCTTTCTGTTTCCCATTTTTTAAATAGGCTAGGTGTAGTATTTCTTGCCTCATAAGATTCATCCAGAGAGAACACAGAAACACATGAAAAAGCTCCGACAATCATAAGGTACTGTACAAACACTCAGGAAGAATAAAACATGCTAAACCAGCAACTGTTCTAGTTCAAATAACACATTTAAAATATCTAATTAATTAAAGCCAACATAGTATTTTGGCTTGAATGCTCATGAGGATCAGAACCTTAATTCTCCATTTCACTTAAAGGTACCTGAGCCAAATAATCCTCCTGCTTAGGGTAATGCTTTTTGAGACTCTTTAAACACCACTTGATCCTTCTAAAAGCAAAACGTATGGGCAGATAAGCTTATTTGTTGTTCTAATGAGCTTAATGATGAATTAGATTCTAGAATGCCCTTTTTTTTATTATTAACGTGAGTATTAACTTGGCTACTTACTCTGCTTTATGCTTTTGGCCTTTAGATTCCTGGAGAATCTTGATGCCCATGTTAAATAGCTCATCTCCTTGATCTGTGAAGTTTTTCTTTGCTTGCTTTTTTACTATATGGGCAAACAAGGAAAGGAAAAACAATATGACTTCTTTATTTTACTTTTTTGTTGTTGCTGTTGTTGGTCGTGGGGCTTGAACTCTGGGCCTGGGCACTGTCCCTACCCTCTTCAGTTCCAGGCGAGTGCTCTACTGCTTGAGCCACAGCGCCACTTCCAGTGGTTTATTGGAGATAAGAGTCTCGCAGACTTTCCTACCCTGGCTGACTTTGAACCATGATCCTTAGATCTCAGCCTTTTGAGTAGCTAGGAATACAGGAATGAGCCACCCTTGCATGGCAAGTTTTATTTATTTTTAGAATATTTTAAATTTCAAAAAGTTTGCTTAGTATTATTCTCTAAGTTAAGGACACTGGTAGGTCAAAAGGGAGAAGCTGCCTAAAAATGTCACTTGTTATTTTGTGAAAGGATCTAGACAGTGGGGAACTAAGTTTCTGATGGCAGGAGGGAAAGTGGTGTTCACGGGGTATGTAAGGTTCTGCAAACCGGAAGCTGGGGATTTCTGGATCCTGTCTATAAATCTCAGAGCCATGATATATAGTTGAAGAGAACAAAAGGACTAGGCAACAAGCATTTCTAAGATGACCTAGCATTGTGCACCTAGAAGCAGTATATTCTTGGGAGAAAGACTCTAATTATAACTTGCCTTATAGACTGAGGGCTAAGAAGTCTGTTTTATGGGACTTAAGGAAAATAAGATGAAATCTTACCCACTACAGTAGTATCACTGAATCATTTCTATAGCACCTCATAACTTTTAGATCATTATTACCAGTTTATTAACCAGAAAAGCAGGTTGGAGGTAGAGTCAAATTTGCAGCTACTCCTCACACTCTAACAGACACATACACACACACACACACACACACACACACACACACACACACACACACACACACACAGCTTTTCACAACATCTCAATACTTATTCAAGTCCATTTCAGTATATGTGAAATCCCTGATTAGGAAGACAGCACCAGAAATCATTTCAAAGGAAGGGCATTTGGGATTTGATGCTTCATTAACAAGACCACAAAGAACTTTTAAATGGCTCTTATTTTTTTTTCTTCCTGACAAGCTATCAGAGTTGTCTCATTTCATTTTTTAAATTTAATTTTTATTGTTATCATAGAGGAGTTGTACAGAGGGGGTTACCATTTCATAAGTCAGGCAATGAAAACATTTCTTTTCTTTTCTTTATTTTTGGAAAATGTCATCCTTTCCTTCACTTTCCTCCTCCTGTCTTTGTCTACAAGCTACATAGCTCATTTTCCCATAGTGTATACTGAATATACTGCATTTTTTCACTCTTCCTCTCACCCTTTTCCCCCACCTAAAAAAAAAAAAACAAAGCAAAACCAAACACCACAACCATTTTATTAGCTAATTTAAAAATCAACTTAAAAGCCAGTTTAAAATTATTTTGAGGGCTGGGATGTAGCTCAGTGGCAAAGCGCTTGCCTAGCAAGTGCAACGTCCTGGGTTCGATCCCCAGTACCAAAAAAGAAAAAGACAAAAAAAATTATTTTGAGTGCTTAACATTAGTTAATCAATTTAGAAATACATGGTATTTTAGCATATAATTTTTGCTCTGAGTTATATATTATCTATACTCATGATTAAAACGTGAGGAATAATGGAAAAAGCCTACTAATCTGTGTATACAATCACAGTTGCTCTCATTAACACGCTTTCAAAGCATAAGAATAAATTTTGAAAGCTTGACTCTGCATGCACATAAATATAAAATGGTTTACCATTGCAAATTTTTTACCCATAGCTTTTGCTTTTATTTGTAATTCTTTTTTGGCTCCCTAAAATGTATTGAGCTGTACAAATTTTCTTCTTAGAAGAAAGTTCAATTATGAGATAAAGTTATCTTGATGATGCTTTCATTTTCTTCTTAAGGTTTGAAGGTTTTGAAACTTCAGGGAATGTAGAGTCAGGAAACGTCTTGAGATTCCAGATTTGATGTGAGGTAATCATAGTGGCTGGAGAGACTGATGCAGCCTCAAAGCTGTATTACAGCAGGACATCATGTGACCACTCAAATAGACAAGATACTGAAACCAGTTTTTGACCCTAGACCTCCAAAGTATGAATTGAGTCCAGCTTAGGTGCCAAATAAAGAGATCTGATGAGGGGCAGAGAATGAAGATACATTATATGGCACACATAGAAAGATAGTTCTTCAATACATCTTTGGCAATCTTCAGATGTCTTGAAAAGGAGAGTTAAATAGGAAGAACTGGGAGAAGGCTGAGGGAGAAGAAATGCATGCTTAAAGCAGTCCTAGAGACATGCATGTACCCAGAGACAAATAGCTGACAATCCATTGTCTAGGACTGGGCAGGTGATCTGCTGCTTCCTGGCTTGGCTTCTAAGACAGTTTCAAAGTGACTGAGGCATGGAGAGAGAGTAGAAAGGAAGATTAGATGTCATTGTTAGGAGAAAGAGAATGAATTGAGTGGTAGGAAGCTAGTGCTCATTGAAGACAGGTATTTTACAGTTCAAAATCATGTTGGTGAGAAAGCTCTGACTGTGACTAACAAGTGGCAAATGAGAAATGGAGACAAAGAGGATTGTAATTGTAATGGTCTAGGATATAAGGCAATATCTTCAATAGGCTATTTCATATCCAGGGTGGCTAGTAGTGGTCACCTTAGTAGTCATTCACTGAGCAATGTAGCACAGACCTTGTGATTATAAGAAGAGGCATTTTTCTATTGCAATCCATTCTTCAAAGGTCTAACTACTAAACCTCTAGCTTTGCTCTGTTCTTCTTTTTTGTCATAACCTTTATTTCTTACTCCCTTTTAAGTTTAACCACAAAATCTAAAATTTAACATTCAAAGTAAAACTACTCTCTAACACAACTAGAAAGATGAGAGAAAAATAATGGATTTTTTTTCCACCTCAAGTTAAATATATTTACAGCATGAAGTACATAAAGGATCACTAAGAATGAAAAGAATTGATAGTTGGGTCGGTAGCTCACACCTGTAATCCTGTAAAAGGTATTTTAAAAGCTGCTTCTGCTAGGCCCATGAATTAACTAAACGCAGGATGAATACCGGGGCACCCAGCCCCCACCTTCCATCTGAGCTGTTCCCGTGTACAGTCACTTTGCAATCACCCTGGGCTCCAGGAAAGATGGGATTTGACACACATAAGTATCTTGTGACAAAAGTCAAAGTGTCCCTTAGATTGTCATTGTCAATAGCTGAACCTCCAAGAAAAGCTAAACATAGCTAAAGATGTACTGAAGTCTACCACATAATCTTCTTTCTCTGTCCTTCATCAATTGTCTTTATTTGTCCAGCCCTGAAATGTGGGACTTCTAGAGTTTGGGCCTAATGTTTAAAAACCTAATTTCAGTCTCAGTTACTCTGAAGAAAAAGAGGAAGAGGAAGAAGGCTTAAGGCCAGCACCGGCAAGAGAAGTTAGCAAGACCTATCCCAATCAACAGGTGGCTTGGGGTGTGCTTGTCATCCTTACTATACTGGAGTTATAAATAGGAGGATTGCAGCCTAAGTCAGCCTGGGGAAATAAACAGGAGACAACTAAAAAACAAAAACAAAGCAAAGCAAAAATCCAGTAAAAGCCGGGGGAGTGGCTCAAGCACTAGCATACCTACCTAGCAAGCAGGAGGCCCTGAGTTCAAAATCTCAATACTGTCGAAATAATTAAAAGGGTTGACAAATTATCAAGGAGATGAATATTTTAGGGGCTTATTAAACATCAGATAAAAAGGCAAAGTCTTTCCCCTTGCAGCAAATCTTGCCTATACAGATCACCAAGTCCTTCTCACCTAATTTCTATTGCATTCAACATAAAACATCTTCAGCTTCCAATGTTCAGCATATTGCATAAAAAGAGCTCCTCATATTTACCCTTATGTGTGCCAAGAAGATACAATATAAGGAGAGAGACTAATGATCCATTACTAAAAATAACATTCCATCCAAGAAAGAATGACTCAGCAAACCCTTCAGTCAGTTAACAATGTGATCAACTCAAATACACCCGAGTAAAACACAGATATTTTTTAACAACCAAGTGCATTTTCATCATCTCTACTTCACTACTGTCATATGTAGATAAGCCATATTATCAGTAGAAAAAAATAATCTGACTTCTTCAAATATTTACCATAAAAAATTTAATAGGGATCCTGACTAAAGATATTGAATCTACTGTCTAAAAACTTAATTTAGCAAAGAGAAAGAAGATTTATAAAACAAATGACGGATTTAAAACAATACACATTTATGTTATAATAAGCGAATCAGGTACCAGAAATTTGGGACAAGCAGTTCTCAGTGTTTATGCTTAATTTTCTCAGAGTATAGCAGGAAGGTACAATGGCTATTTCCAATTTATAGATGAGGTGATGCATATACAAAGTAATTGAGTAACATGTTCAAGCTACCAAACTTAACCCAGATGATGATGATTCACATACGCTTTACTTTTTTAAAAATAAAAGTTTTGCTATACTTTAGGCCTCATTTTTAGATGTATGTAGCTGGAGGAACTTCATACTGGATGAGCCACTATTTCACCACAGTGAGAGATATTTCATAATTATTAAAAAAAATTGTTATTATAAAAGTGATGGATGGAGGCATTACCATTTCATACGTCAGGTAATGAGTACATTTCTTTTTTGACAATGTCATTTCTTCCTTTGCTCTCTAATTTTCTTATAAAAATCACTATATTTAAGATATTTGTGTGCTGATTTGAAGAAAAGTTTTCAGCAAAATAATGACAGTATTAGGTAAGCAAATTGAATTCTCTGATGCAGACTTTGAAATCTCTAGTACTGAAGAATTGTCTTCGGGTGGCTTGAATTGTGCCTATTTCTTCCTGTTAGAATTGGGTCTGGCTCCTGCTTTTATACAGGGAAGATGAGAAAAAGGCACCCAGTATGAAATTATCCCCCTTTGGAGGAGCTTGCTCTGTAATACTGAGGTCTAGCCTCCTCAGGCCTCTATGTTTCCCCTCCTCCAACCTTTCCCCAACACAGAGGACTGCATTGGTCTCTTCCAAAAACACACTTAAAGATAAAGAAATTACTATTCATTCTGCACAGATCTAAGCATGTTCAGTGTCATTAGAGTTGATGTTGGGCATTCAAGGCAGAAGAGAGATTTTTCCAGGTGTGGGATAAGAGACACTCACTCTTAGCTCCTAATTCTCCTCCCCACCCCAATGAAGAATCACATGAGGAGATGATGATGGACTGGGCAAAGATAGAAACTGACGTAGCCTTAAAAACACTTGGCTTACTCTCCACAAGGCAATTTGGAGCTAAAATGGCCCTCACAACGGTCTCAAGCAGGGGAAAATGATCAGGCCTTTGTACTCCTGACTGCCCCAGGGAGGGGCAATTTTGAGTAAGTAGCTCATTGTACCCAATATAGTTCCATTATGGACTGATTGCCAGAGTCCATTAGCAATTGAAGTAGGGATGGGGAGGGATCTACATAGTACTTCATAGCATATGCTACACACACACACACACACACACACACACACACAAAGGGGAATACAAATGATAGGTGATATGATCAGGTCTAGAAACAAGAAAAGGAATTATAATACTAGCTTCAGACCTCCTCCCACCAAGGACACAGTAGTTAGTGCCAAAATTAAAGATGATTATTTCCAGGTGAAGCGGAAAAGACCTGGTCAAGATGGAATAGAAGATAGTGTTCCAGCAGCTCTATTGTTCCTACTGTAGTATGATTGGCTATTGATTTGTCATACTAACAACTTAATAAAGCTAATTATTTTTATGAGAGTCAGTTCTATCTTAGAAGGAAGAATTAGTTGAAGATTTACTGTTAAAATATCCTGAGGGAAAATGAACATGCTATTTTCAAAAAGGTAATGGATGTAAAAACATCATGTTGAAGTACAAAAGTACTTGAATATTCAAATGAACTCTAAAAAATGTAAGGCTTGTTTACTTTTGTGTAGCATGTTGTAGATAATTTTGATTTTGGGGTCAGAAATAACTCAATTCACTTTAATTCAGCAAATATTTATTTACTGTAACTGCATGACAGATACACCTCCATTTAAGTGATGGAGGTACAAATGCTGTTTATTATATTTGAAAATTTCTTATTGGAAAAGGAGTAAAAATGAGTCCCTAATTTCCCTGTTTTTCAAGATGTGAAAAAATATATCTACATGTTCTAGAAATGTCAGCTCGATGTTAATCGAATAGACTATTCTGCATTTTTTTCAATGTGATTAAAACTCACAGGTAGAAGGATACTATCTTAGAGAGTCTGGGTTGGCCTAATTCAAAACACTGCAAGGCTTTAAGAGTGGAACCAAGGCTTTCTCTTTTTTACAATTCTTATTTATGTATTTTTATTTGTTTATTTATTTTTGTCGGTTGTGGGGCCTGAACTCTGGGCCTGGGCACTGTCCCTCAGCTCTTCAGCTCAAGGCTGGTGCTCTACCACTTGAGCCACAGCACTACTTCCAGCTTTTTCTGCCTCAAGGCTTTCATGAAGCAAATAAAATTGTACCTTTAGGAAGTAGTTTAGCGTCTTCCCAAGAATTATAGGCTTCTTTTCCTGACAAATTCTGAACTTGCCCAGCCAGACACATATATGTAAGTAAATCCCTTACAATAAATCCTTTAATATACATCTGTATCTCTTCTATTCTCCTAGATGTTTTTTCCCCCTGGTTGAACTTTGACTGGCTTAATTCTTATTTTTTCACCCTTTTGAGTCAGGGTCTTACTAGGTAGTCTAGGCTGGTCTTGAACTTTCCTTGTCTCAGATTCCAGTTGCTGGGCTTACAGGTGCATGCCACAACTCAGCTTGGCTTAGAACTTTTCAGTGAGAAAAGGATTTATTTTGCCATGGAGTTGTTATGCTTCATCACTCAGATGGTGTCTAAAACAACTAACAGGACTTTAGCAATGACACGCACAAGGCACCACACACGCGCACAAGGCACCATTGCTCAGTGGGCTAGGCACTGCATGCTGATCAGGACAGTGCAGGTCAGATTGTTATGTCCAGCTCCTGACATTGACTAACATGAAGATCATAGTTTGAAATGATTTGAGTTTAATATAAGTTAAGAATGTTATAAGGAAGTGAGAGATGTAGTAGAGAACACCATAAACTGCCTTGTATGATAATAGAGACCTTACTTTCAGCTATCTTTGTAGGAGCTGATGTCATTTGTCAGGAACAGCTGAAGAAAGATCTTCTAGGGTAGACAACCTCTAAAATTTCCTTTATATTCTTAGACACTTAGTAATTTTACTCCTATTACAATATTATAATTTCACTAACTATAATATAGTATTATAATTATCCTCCTATTTTCTGTCAGCAGAAATCTTTCATCCTTCAACCTGCCCCACTTAGAAAACCAGTGTGTTGGGTTGAGAATGTGGCTTAGTGGTAGATTACCTGCTAAGCATACATGAAGCCCTGGGTTTGATTCTCAGTACCACATAAACAGAACAAAAAGCGCTGTGGCTCAAGTGGTAGAGTGCTAACCTTGAGCAAAAGACACTCAGGGACAAGGGACAGGCCCTGAGTTTAAGCCCCAGAACTGGCCAAAAAACAAAACAAAACAAAAGGCATGGTTGGGAACTTAATGGCAGAAAGAGAAGGAAGAAGGAGAAGAGGAAGAGGAGGGGGAGGAGGAGAGAAGGAAGGAAGGAAGGAAGGAAGGAAGGAAGGAAGGAAGGAAGGAAGGAGAAAGAAAGAAGAAGACAAGGAGGAGGAAGAAAGGAAAGGAAAAGGAAAAGAAAAAAGCAACAAAGGAATTTTAACTCCATGCTTCTCAAAATGATTTTGGGGAAATACTGAAATATGTGATAAGCATGCTGGGACTTACTGAGCACCAAACGTATTTGAAGGGTTTAGGTGAGAATAAATAAAAGTAAATGATGGAAGACATTTTATAACTAACAACTGTAGTTTATGTTGTAGATTTCAAAACTCACACTTTGAATTGTCACATCTAAGACTTTAGAGAAAGAAATGTCTTGCTGTCCACCAGATCTCCAGGCATGTTTAAACCTGGGCACTGGTGGTTCACCTGTATTCCTAGCTATTCAGGGAGCTGAGATCTGAGGATAGTTGTTCAAAGCCAGTGTGGGCAGGAAAGTCCATGAGACTTACCTTTAATTAACTACCATAAAAGCTGTAAGTTGAGCTGTGGCTCAACTGGCAGAGTGCTAGCCTTGAGCAAAAAAGACCAAAAATCATAAACCAAAAAACCAACATGGACACACACACACACACACACACACACACACACACACCAGGCTCTGAGTTTAAGTTCCCATACAAGTATACACCACACACACACACACACACACACACACCATACAAGTATACACCACACACACACACACACACACACACACACCATACAAGTATACACCACACACACACACACACACACACACATACTTGCTCCAAGTGTCTTAATTCCTCATTCTCTTAGGAACCTGAGACAAGCAAAGCTGCAATTCCTCACAGAACCTGAAGATGCAGCCTGGGAAGGCCAGCTGCACTACACTAAGTAACAGGAAGGCTGTGTTACTGTGTCAAAAATTGCCAGATAATTATTGCAATATTTATGATTGTATCCTTAGACATCTCAGAAAGCAGCTCTAAAATGTGGTTTTAGATGAACTGTCTTGTTTTAAATTTAGTTTTGATGACTTGGAGCTTCACACTTATTAGGCAGACACTTGAACACTTAAGCAGGCTTCTAGCCCTTTTTGCTTTGCTTATTTTTGAAATAGAGTATCCCTTTCTTCCCAGTCTTGTTTGGACCTTGATCCAGTATTTATGTTTCCTGCAGAGTTGGGATGATAGGTGCATGGTCACTGTCCTCATCTTTTTTCTATTGAGAGGGGTGTCTTATTATTCCTTTTTTTTTTTAGTCTAGAACTCTAATCTATTTAGTTCCTACATTCTGAGTAGTTAGTGTTATACATATGTACTACCAATACCCAGCAACAAAAATCATTTTCTTTTACATGTGAGACAGTTTTATACTTACAATGAATTTTATTTCTCCTCGGGACATCTTTATTTTGAATTCCTTTTATTTTTAGTTTATGCTGACCCTTCTTTTTCTCTAAGAGATACTCTCTTTTATTGGTTAATTTATTCAGTTTTCTTTGTTCCAATATTTGTGTTAAAAGCCGTTTGACTTTGTTCACTGATACCTACAAAGAAAAAGACTTTTGTTCATGTATAATTCTTTTTATAAAATAGAAAGTGAAAATTCATCTGTTTATGGCAAAAATATAAACATAAGTCAGTTATGTGAATTCTTGCTGTTTTTTTCAAATAAAAATGACAAAGTTTACTTAACTTGGGCAATTCATATATTTTATGAGTAAAATTCTGTTAAACCTATGACATTGTCATCTAAACTGCCAAGACAAGTATTAAAAGCTGAATTAAACTAATTTGCTATTCTAGAGGTGAGTTGTCATAGTAATATTGTGTGTTTTTTAAAAAAACTTAAGCTTTTGATAGCCCCTTATATTTAAAGTGAATTGTGACTATCATTAAAAGTATAAAAAATGTATTTTACCAAAGTATTTTTTTCAGAAGTAATATAATTAACCTATTTTGATTAAGGTGATGAATTTGGGGACAAGGTTCAGTATACAAGAAAATAATGCAGACTTTAAAGGAAAAAGTTAAAAAAAATGTGGGGTAATATTATACACACACACATACACATAGCTTTTCAGGATAAATCATTATAAAGTAATTTTTTCTTTATTTTTAATGAGTATGGTAAGAAAAGTTAAGATTTTTATTTGTTGTTCCCCCCCCCTTTCCTTCAGCACCCACATTTAAACTCTTGCTTCCTATGTTTATTTTCTGGAAAGCTTAAATCTTTCCTATAAAGGTGGCAATGCAGTATTCCAGGAGTCTGAGAAAAGAAACCAGCAATCTCTTAGCTCTCCTTAGCCTCAGACTCCCCATTTTTTTCCTCCACTGTTCCTGCTCCCACCTCAGCAATCACTAATCTATGTTCTGTCTATGGAGCTCCCTGTTCTTGGCTTTTACAAGCATGGAAATGTGTATGTTTTCTTTTCTTGTGCAGCTAGCTTTTTTCATGTAGGATAAATTTTCCAAGATGAATCTATGTTGTGGTATGTATCAGCATTTCATTCTTTTCTTTATAGCTAAATAATCTTTATCTCAATTAATTACATTTTATTTAATCATTCATCCAATGATAGACATTTTAGGTTTTTCCATCTTTGGGCTCTTCTAGTGCTGTTGTTGTCATCATGAAGGTACAAAATCACATAAAGATTTTGAGGGTGAGCCTTCTTGCTTTAGAATCAACAGATTCCATGAATAAAATATAAGCAGCTCAGTTATAGTTGAATTTCTGATCAGAATTTTTGTAGGGTGAATATGTCCCAAATATTGTATCTACCCAAAGATAAGCTGTGAGATTTCCAAAAAGCTCACTTCTACTAATAGTATTCTCATTACCAATCAGGGTATGTGGCAGTTAGAGTGATGAATATGGAGGAGGGGGTTAGAAAATATAATGAAAAGAGACAGGTTTAAAATGCATAAACAGTTATTCCCATTTTACTTCTTCAATTTGGATTTAGGATTTCTTCAAGTAATTCAGTAAACATTTATTGCTAAGAAATGTAATTGTTCTCCTAGTACTCAGGAGGCAGAGGTATTAAGATCTTGCTTGAGGTCACAAGGATTATGTGGCAAGAACCTATCTCAAAAACAAAACAACATTAAATGAAACAAAAAGGAATAAAAATTATTGGATATATGTGCACAGTACTGGGCTAGTTGCTGGGTTATAACCACAGTAAAAAACACAGACAAACATCTCTGCTCTTGAGCAGATTATATTCTGATGAAGAGTGGCAACAGTGACAATAATATTGTGTGTTACATAGTTCTTAGAGATTCTAAGAGAAAAAGATTCTAGGAGAAAAATTGCTACAGGGAAGGGAGATAGAAAAAGGTATGTGACTGAGTTTGCAACTTTGGATGGGAACGACTATGAATTGAGAGGGCCAAAGACCCTCTTAAAAGTTGGTATTTGAACAAAGACTCAAGGAGGTAAGATGAGGGAACCATGCAGTTATCTTGGCTACAAAGGCACTGTGAGTAGAAAAGACAGAAAGGTGTGTGCCTGCCTCGGGTTGCTGAAATAAAAGCATGGAAGCCAGTGTGTCTAGAATGCTTAAGGGAGACAGCGGGAAGAGATGCTATCAGAGACCAGACTCTTGAGCACAAGAAGCAGGCCAGTGGCCATGACTTTGGTTTTGCAAGAGAAAAAACAAAAAACAAAACCCAACGAAACACACAAGAAAAACCACTCGGGTTTCAAATAAGGTTATCACTTGAAATGCCTTGTATTTAGTTTTGCACTGGCTGCTGGGTTGTGACTCGTCTGAAATTTTGAATCATCATTTCCAAGACGTTAAAAGATATGTGGTTAACAAGCTTTAATGAACATCTATATATAACTAAAGTCAAACTGTCTCTGCCCTTTTGGTTTTAATATAGTCTTACCTTACAGTGGACTAAGAAATGTTTACTGAGTGAATGAGAGCGTAGAGAACAAAAGGACTAGTAAATAATTCCCTGTGTAAGAAGTTCTAAGCAAGCTGAATAAATAGTACCAACTCTGCCGAAGGCCTATTGTTCTATTGAAATATACAGCGATGAACTAAATAGTTACCTGTGTGGTAATATTTCTTTCCTTTTGTCTTTTATTGTATCTTTCTGCTTCCATATCTGTAATATACAAAGCATTTTTTATAACATTTGAAAACTTGAAATTTTCTGTAAGTACAGTTTCTGGTTAAAACTATGTAGGAAACTTTTAGAAGTCTCTTAACAATAGTTCTACATAAGGAGTTCAGTGATAGAGTACTTGCCTAACATACATGCATAAAGGCCCTGGGTTCTACCCATGCAACACACAAACACACACACACACACACACACACACACACACAAATGAAAACAAGTTACAATTTCATTACTAAGAGTGTGTTCAAAATAGTTCCTTCAATGACAACTTCTACGGCTATAACCTGAGTGAAAAGATGGCAAAGATATATTATGACACCAGAGATAGTCTGAACGATTTAATCAAGCATTCTGAAAGTGAGTTAAGATGCAAGTGTTCTACAAATAATAACGCTAATTATAACAGTGTATAAGTTTCTGAGTTTGAGTTTAGTTACAATGTATCTATGTAAATATTATATCTTTGTACTTAAAGGCCATCTATTAGGCCTTGAGAAAATGAGGAAGGAGGATGGCAAGGTTGAGGTTAGCCTGGGCTACACATTGAGAATATCCTATGATGTCAAATGAATTGCACTAAAATAAAAGTGTTACTATAAATGATACTGTATCCCAAGTTTGTCAAGTGACTGTTTGGATCCATGAATACTTACTGTTGGAAGCAAAATGCCATCACAGTTCATCATGTAGTCTTTAGGTCAAACAAGCCTATGTTTTAGGTTTTATTTGTACCCATTTCATTAATTTGCTGTGAAGAGCAAAGGACATCATCTACATATTTAGCCCAGAACTAATACATTCAGTGTTCAATAAACCTAAGCTACATTTTTTAAAAAGGATTTAAGGTGCCTTCAAGATAATATTACATGTTAGTAGTTTTAAAAGACTTTGGCATATAAAGTGTTATTAGAAACTCCATATATATTAGAATTTATAAATGCTTTGCATATATGGCTTCTATCAATGACTGGTTTTTCCACAGATTACTTTGCTTACTCATGTTTGTTGTATTAGAAGCCATTTGCTATGACTGATATAGTCACCATAAATGTCTGGTAATTTAAAACTCCATTATCACAACTAGAATGGTAAGTGAGTTGGACAGGTTCCCATTTTCATCTTCCCAAAAGTACACAGAATAAAATTAGAGGTAGTATGCACAGAATGTGCAGTTGCAGAAAAAGTGCAAAGGGCCATACATATTTAAAGTGAGAAGATAAAATTATGGATATTAAATGGAATACAGTTTATATTATATACTGGACCAGAAAATCAAACTGTCATTGACAAAGAGTAAGATGAAAATTACAGGATTAAAACTAGTTATCAAAGGCAGAAGAAGTGTAGATAAAAGAATTAGTGGAATGTGGGGAGGTAAGAGTATAACTAGAGGAATTACCTACTCAATTGCTTAAAACATAATAAAAAACAAGATAGAGGGAACTGGACAGTCTTTCCAGGAGAAATTGCACAATCCAAAACACTTTTGAAACATATTAAAAATGTAATTCTTTTTTACATTTTGAGCTTTTAGATTTTCAACTAAGAAAATAAGGTTTTGGTTGGCTAGTGGAGAAAACAGTCATTTTTGCAGCCATGTTGGAATCTGGGAAAGAATAAACAGGAGACCTGAGCAACTATGAGGCATCAAAGATTTGTTTTGCATCAAGGTCCCACCTAAGCCATCCTGAGACAACTATAAGATCCAAAGAGGCCTTACTGAAGGCGAGAGCCGAAAACAGAGAGACACAAAAAAGAAGCACTGCAAGAGGTTCGACATAAACACAACAAACTCAGTTATAGAGCTGTTGAGGTAGTAGTGGTATCCAAACTCGAGAGCCCATTTCAGGCACAGAGCTTGTTCCAGAGTCACTGGCTCTGTATACCTTAATATACCAAAGTAATACTTTATTTGCATCAATAAGTTACATACCAATTAGCTTCATAGTCAGTGCTGGAAATATGGTGGTAGTTTATTTACACAAACAAGGTATAGAGTTATTATGCCTCTGCATTTTGTGCTCAAATGGAGCAAATGGCTGTTCATGAAATAGAATCACTCAGGTAGGGCACAGCCTGAAAGCTATTGTTCTATACACCATATAGTAACTTTGGAGCAGGGTACAGCCAGATTCCCACCAGGGCCAAGTCATGGATTGAGATAAGTCCATTTTGCTTCTGAATCTGTCTTGTTTCATCTTCCTTCCGTACAGTTAGTTACTTTGCATCTCAGGAATAACAGATCAGATTGATGGGTGTCTTAAGACAAAAGGCTAAAACTGCTCTTTAAACAACAGCAATCTTCATAGCACCAACTTGGCATTGCCTGTCCTAAGATAATGACGGAGGCAATGGTCAACAAAAACATGGGCAGACCAAGATGACTCAAACTGCTTGTTACCTTTGCTTCTCTCTAAGATAAGCTGAAGCTATTTAAAGCACTTTGAAGACAGACCTTTTATTCTTGGGGGTGGAGGAGGGGTCGTGGTGGTGGTGATCATACTGTTAAAAAAAGCTCCTTTCCTGCCTTCGCCATTACTTTCTCTGATTGGCTTTCCAGGACCTATGGTGGAGCCTAGTCTATTGGGACTCTCAGTAGCAACTTTTGCCCTAACTCTGATTTAAAAAAAAAAGTTCATGAATTCTATGTCTCCATCAGAAAGAATGACACTGCCCCATTTGTTAGGACAAGCAGAAAAGGTCAAAAGCTATGTACATATGGCCATGTAAGATGATGCTAAGCAAAATGAACCCCAAGATAGAAACACATGAGGTTTGCATCTTTCTTGCTGTTGTTTTTAATGTACTTATAGTGTACTATGTGATTTTTTTGTTTCTTTTGTATGTTCTTCCCCCATGGTATAACTCCTGTTTTCACTGTATTTTAATCCAGTGCAGTGTCCTGCATCCTGTATATATATTTTTTTTTCTAATTTGGGGAGGGGAAGGGAAATAACAAAATGCTGAAACAAAGATACAGGTTGACCCATTGTAACCATGAGCTGTAAAGACACTATGTTGAAAACAAACTTTACAACTGGACAGGGGACAGGGAAGGAGTTGGGGAGGGAAGGGGTGGTAGAGGAAAAACAAAGGGTAGGGTAACAATGCTTAATAGGAAATGTATACATTACCTTACTCATCTAACTGTAACCCCTCTGTAAGTATCTTTACAATAAAAAATATATATTAAAAAAGTGCAGGTGGGAACAGTAGGAAAACCAGTTACCCAATCTACAGAATTATGATGAGCCTGTAATGAATCATTATTGTGTCAGCTGACCATGTTTTGGGTTGTTAATGCAAAAAACTGAAAACTGGAAAGATTGGTTCTTTGGCCTACTGGGACTCCGTAGACAGAATTCTCCTTTCTCAGAAGTGAAGGCAGACCAATAAATAATGTCAAAATATGTCATATAGAATATATTCATAGAATGGACAAAAGCCTTAGAGGAAAATAATGTAAACATACTGCTACATCGTGGTTCTTTACAGATCTACATTCTCTAAGAAAGGCTAAATGTTTATTAACACCTAGATTTACCCAGAAGGCTGCATTTCCCTAATGTAGACTCACATCCTTTTGTCCCTGGTATTGTCTAGATTTAACCTTTCCACCTTACTTGACCTGTGGGAACTGTTATTACATTTATCACTCTGGTGATAACTCTGGTAACCAATATTTTGACTTTCTCATTCTCCCTTACATTTAGGTGTTTTCCCCTAAACACTTGCACTCCTGTAAGAGGCAACCTAATAAGTAATTTTGCTGGTCCCTGTGAATTAGCTAAAAGTCCTCCAACTTCTTATCTGTGTCCTTTGATCTGAGCTATTCTGCTGCAACCCCTTTGTAATTACCTTGGGCTCTAAGAAAGAGAAAATTTCTTGATAAATGTCTTTTGTGGAAGGCCATGTTCTCTTATCATTTTAACGGAAACATCCAAACCACTCAGGAGACTACCTTGCTCCTGTTTGGTTCCAGTAATAAAGTGATAACAACTTCTCTGGAAAGTCCTCTAAGGACAAAGACTGAGCTAATGGCCAACTTATAACTTGGGACTATTTTAACTGTGCATACGTTTCTCATCCTCTTCCCCCAATTTTCCCTATTTGACCTGAAGCCAAAATCTGAATCCCTGAAGACACTGAAAGATGTACTGAAATGCTGTCTTCCTATGCCTGCCATGCAATAAATCTTCTTCCTCTGCCCATCATCATGTCTCTTTATTTGGCATATAGGGGCACATATCTGTTTATATTTCAACTGCTTTCTCACTGCTCCAGACTCTCTGAAAGAAGGACATGCCATGTTACTTTCTACCACAAGGGGGCAGTTTCCCTTAACACCTTGTTCTCTAGGATCCAGGGCAAGAACACAAAATCTTAACTCTGCCATTCATTTAAGGCCCTCCTAGTCAAAGTACACAAAGTAAAGGACACAGGTGTAAAGATGACTGGAGTGAACACATGAGGTAATAAAGCACCACTTTACAAAAAGCGCAGTGTAGTGAATAATAAAGTGGTTAAAAAATAAGGTCTGATTGTTGAGGGACAAATTAAAACATACATTTAGTTTGGTCACTTTGGCATTGAAGAGTTGATAGGAATTCATCCAGTCCACTTTGTTGTGTATTTAATCATCTCAGATATGTGTGCACTTATTGGTGACAGTTAAGTAGTTTTGATGTTTTCATTCTTTAAATCCTAACTAGAGAAGCTTACCAATTGCAAGGTTTCAGAATTTCAAGGAAAGCCGCTCAGTTTAAAAGCCTTATTGCTATATAGCTAGAGCTAGGCAAATCACATTTAACATTCACTCTTCATACTTTCTATTAATAGTTGGCATACATTTTAATTTTCAAACTCAATTTTGCAAGAAATACAACATCCTTAGGATTTTTTAATAATGGAATTTAATTGGCATGGAATTTGTATTTCAAGCTATCACACTATACACTGCTCTTGCTTCTTCCCCTTTAGCT